GCCACTCACCAAGGTTGCGGCAGTCTCATGCAGTTTGTTGACTGGATGTTAATTAGCTAGTTAGATTATTAGTTAGAATACTAGTTAGATAGACATAGACAGACGGATCAGATAGGATCAGATAGGATCAGAAAGGTAGATTGATTGCTAGAGACAGAGAGAGAGAGAGAAAGAAATTTCAGAGGAGTCGCTGAGGTGAAGGCCGTAGTCTTCACCGCCAGCGGGTTTTACTTTTCCACCGGGGGCGCCTTTGGCCCGGGCCTTGGAACCCTTGGGGCTTTCCAAGTGCATTTGGTAATCATAACATATCATGATATATCATCTTTGATTCAACATCTGCCCTGGGATCGTTTGGATCCCCCTGTTGGATCTCCAACCTCCAGAATCATCAGAGAGGATTGACCATGCAAGGCGAAACTCCTGAGGATGAAAGCGACTTTGCGCCGCGCTTGGAACCAGGATAGGGGAGGAAGGGGGCAGGTACTGAAATGGTGATCTTCATTTGCCCCATAGATGTTACTTTGATTTGGGTGCGATTCAAAATGTTCGATATGGTTCAACACGTGACACGTTGAAAACCAGACTGTCTTGCTATTGTGTGAGTTTGGGGTGAATGATGTTTTGGCACTTTGGCCACATGTTCAGGAGCCAGCAGATTTGAAACTGCTGTGGCAGAAAACCTGCCAATTGCCCATTTGTTGTACTTGATGAGCACGCTGCCTCAATACAAGGTACGAAGGGGAGACGCATTGCTAGCATAGCGGCGAGATCAGTCTCATGTCCAATAAAAGAAAGTAACATGGTATTCTTTGAGAACAGTGGGATCCAATGTAATGTATTTTGCGGAACTAAAAAGTTCACAGATTGCAACCTGGAGATCAAACAGAACCTGGCATCAGCGCTGCTTGTGCTCATGTTTTGTTTCATGAAAGCAGGTGGCAGCAATTCGGGGCAGCATTATGGGTGCTGGAATCAGCCTGGTGGCGGCAATGGATTACGTTGTAGCACCTGAAAGTAGGAGCCTCCGCTGGGCTTGGGCGGGGGTTTGAAATCCAATAGGGAAGCTGAATACGAATTCCAATGTATTCCATTAAACTGAAGGCCTTGAACAGATTTGAAAAGAAAGCTCATTCGCGACTATACCAGGTTACCAGTGTTGACTTCCGTTCAAGATATCCAAAACGCAACATCAAACTGTCGGGAAATGGCATGAAATGGCGACTCCATTAATATCTCTGGATGGACTTGATGACTTGATGTTAGATTTGGTGATGATATGATATGATCTCTGGTGGGTCTACAGATTTTATCAGATTTTATCAGATTTATGATGTGATTTTCATGGATTTTCCACTTCTTCAGTTGCTGTTTCTTCAGCTCCATTGGTTTCACCATGGTTTCACCACCTTCGGTGGGACGGTGCCGGGAGGACCCAGCTGAGTTTCAAGGAGGCCACCCGCGGCCTGGGCGCCTGCTGTTCATGGCAGGCCACAGTGGCGAAGTTGGGCCGCTAGGCGGCACAGTGTCGTCATAGTTACAGTATATTTATAGTATGTAACTAATCTGGGTAAATTATAACGACCTCACTGCGAGCTCACTGGGAATCATGGTTAGTAATGGTTAGTAAGGTTAGTGAAATATTATAATTTACCCAGACTAATTGTAACTATGGATATCTATGGATATTTATTATAGTATATTTACAGGTACATGTACAGGTACATGATGGTACATGATCTCATTTTAGATGTAGATTTATGTTTGTACACATACATACGATGTAATTATATACCTTGACCTTCCCTTGACAAGATTTTTCATGATTTTTCGCGGCCTTCATGATTCCATATATCGTTTCAAAAAGAAACATGTCGTTCATGACGTGTTGCTGGAAATCATGCGGACTTGGGTGCCCCCAGTGCACCTCTAACCCAAGATTCTCCCTTTCACCCATGCATACTGATGGCAGAGCCACATTGGCTTGTGTATTAATTTTCAGGCTTCTAGTAAGCCCATCTAACAGAAAAGCTGAAAAAGCTACATTGCCCCTGATCGGAAAACAACAAGAATTACCCCTTTTATCCTTTTTTGGTTTTGCACACGTTTGCAGGGTATTTGCGGGCGTTTTGCGGGGCGTTCTTGTCGCAAAAAAAGTGGTTCAGTGGCCATTTAGGATGAAGACAACCTCCTCAGTGCTCTGCGGAGCAAATCTTGTTTTGCCTAACATCTTAACCTCCCAAGTACTTTTTGAATGGTTCGAATTGATAGCTGATATATGCTGATATCCTGCTGTACCAGAATGATGGCAATGTAAAATGACTGAAACCAGGCTCAAAACATGGAAATATGTAATTCCAATTCTTGTCAAGATAGCCGTTTGCACCAAAAACTTAGCAATTTAGGCAAACACAATAATTAATTACAAGAAAATTCGTCTTCTTGGAGGTTCCAGGTATATATAATGTTCATACATCTCTGTTTGTGTGGCTGTGTGTACACATGTGCACAGAGTTATCGTGAATTATATTATATTCTATATATTTCTCCGCGGTACTCCTGGGGTGAACGGCTTACTGACGGGGTGAACGGTCGGTCCCAAAGTGCAAAAAGCAATCTACAGATATCTACAGTCTACGTCAATCTACAATAGTAGTTGAGCATGAGCTTTCCTCTAAGACATGGAAATACATAAGTTTTAAATAGTTTTGACAGGTTTGGCCACCCAGGAGTGATGAAGATGCGGCAATTTTGTCTTTTGGCTGAAGATGTGAATGCTAACCAAGCCAAAGAACTGAAGCTCCTTGGCTGGGTTCATTGTTACGTGCCGTTGGCAATGTTGCTGATCCTAAAATTTGGGCAGTATGATTCTGATTGTGTTTGGTACCATTGACTGCAAGACTTGCTTATGTTCGTCCAGAGACTGTAGGAATCCCTAGTCCCTGCATGTGTTGCCACGGTCCATACCTACGTTGGTCATATTTGTGTTGGAGTGTGGTGTTTTTTCTCCTCCTTATTTTTTGTGTATATGTTGTTTTTCTTCGGCTCCAGGGTAGTGCCCATGGTAAGGCTGGTGGATCACATCGTCACAGGCGCCGCCAAAGATGCCTTCATCGAAGCAGATGCCTTGGCCTTGGCCAAGGCGGTCGGTTTCGGTTGGTTTGTGGCTTGGGGCTACCAGCTACCACCGATATCCACCAAGTAGCATTTGGGCATTGCCCCAGTGCAGCAAGGGCCACTGTTGGCTGTTGAGAGGGTCCTGGCACTGGCGAGAGGCCAAAGAAGTTGCAAGGAAATGTTTGGACGAAAGACAAGCTTTGAAGACAACAGGACTGTGATCCGATTGCGCCATATACTTATGCCGCAACATCTCTATTATTTGCTTCTGATGTTCTGATTGTTCTGCCAGCATCTGCCAGCCTGAGACTGGTGGGAGAGAGATGGACTGTAGCATATCCCTTTTTGGAGGGGCAGTTGGTCAGTGAATTCACCGATTTGGGACCCGCAGATGGCCGCAGATGGCCGCAGATGGCTGACCTCTTAAAGTTCCTTGCCTGGGTCCCTTGCTTTCTCGCCAAGTCTTGGCTTTTTGTTTGTACGGGGACACCTTGCGATGACTAAAAGACCATTTTCTGAAATACGATGTTTAAGATTGTTTAAGTATGTTTATAATTTTATAGAACTCATGTTAATTCCGCATTTCGTCAACGACAAGGTTGAAGCAGCATAAACATGAACAATCCCGCATGTGAACAGGTGGGCACAACAAATTGTGAATTTGGGTATGCCTCAACAACCAAAAGGTACAGAAAGCTCAAATTTGGACGAATGAAGGATTACATTACCCAGAAAGAGATAAGAACTAAGTCGCAGCTAATGTGCGTCCATGCCTAAGCTGATATCAGGTCAGAAAACAACTATATTATTGCGTTGTGGCATGTCAAATAAATACACATGAGGCACAAGTAGTGAAACTGGGAGTATCCTCATCAAGTGCCATACTTGCGGCCTGCAGGACCTCTCCAAAGAAAACCACTGCTGCAGTTGGCAGGTGCAACTTGCGGGTTGGTCAAAACCTGCCAGGCCTTTGTTAATCTGGAACTCCCAAATGATGAGACTTGTCAAAGGATCTTGAAGGCATCATAGTATCATATGCAGCACTTCTGCAATGAAACGAGATGTGCAGTAAGTTATTTTTCACCAGGAGCCGTTTGCACGTCAGGTTTGAAAGATTCCGTCGAAGCGTTGCTAGAGGAGGTGACCGCCGAAGGGATGGGGTAATGCCATGTGCCAACATCCTCCCCGGAGACGGATATGGCATGATCCACTTGGATTATTTTGGATTGTCTTGAAAATCAGAGCCCAGATCACTAGATTTGCTCACCCTTGTTTGATTTGTTTTGATATGTTTTGATTGTGGGATCTCTTGCTCAATCATCTCAGGGGTGACCTTTTGCCCCTGGCTGATGCTGGCACACCAGGTTTCCAAACGGCATGGGCTTGAACCGCGCTGTCCTGTGCACCGCTTCAGCAACCAAATGTGGCCCTACGAGGCCATGGCTCCATGCTGTGCATTCCTCTGCCTCAACAATTACTTGTAGTTCCTATGCAAGTTAGTGAATCAACAAGTGCAAGGCAGATGATATACACACTCATGGATACGAACGCTTGCGCTTCAGAGTTTTGACACTTCACTGGATGTCGAAAACAGCGTTTCGTTCCTGGTCAGATAGGCGTACCTTGCAAGCATGCTGATTTGGTGAAGCTGCATCAGTCCTTACTTGACGCACCCGATTCAAATACTCGACCCAGCTACGACTCCGCTGTGGAAATACAGAACTCAAAATGCATGCGATGCAAAGACCTTCCTGAACCCCACAAAAACCGCAAGCAGCAGCACCACATGCAGCGCAGGCTGTGCAACTGGAGATTGTTGGACAGCAGTTTGGCTGTATTTTGCAGTGCGTCAAACGGACCATGGTTTGCCTTTGTAGGAAGTGTTGATGGGAATCAGTGCGCTCGTTATATGCTAGTCGTTTTAATCTGCACAGATGAATCCATAAGGCCGAAATGGCCTGGTAGAACCAAGGCACATGGCTAGGCGGGGCAAACTGCGGACCTCCGGGTGTGGAGATAATCGGAGATAAGGGTCAAGGATGACATAGACTCCCCATGGATGCAAATATGAAACCCCACTTCGTCAACGAAGGAAAAGCATTCACGATGGTTGGAGATGCTTGTTACAAAGCACATGTTTCTGATCAAATGGACGACCTGGAGGAATGTGGGATCCAATTAGTAATGTACTCGTTTATCTTGAGGGAGTAACAATAAGGTGCTGGCCTGTTCTACGCCCAAGTGGATGTGACACCAAGCCCAAGCACTGCTGTCGATGTTGAGGAGGAGCATGTGTATTCCCAAGCTGAATGGATTCCACCTCAACTACCCAAGGGTTGGATAACCTTCCAGGCATCCGTATGCATCCGTCACAAAGCTGGTTTGGGGAGACCGGCAGCAGTCACACCTTGCTCTGATAGTCATGCGTTCCGACACATCTGAGATCCAGGCATCTCCCTAATTTCATTATCTTAAATTCATTTGAGCATTTGAGTATGTACTCCATATTTGAGTCCACTCCAGCAATCCAATGAAATCCAGGTCACATTGCATTGACAGCCCGAAGGCTAAGCCTCAAAAGGGGCCACCTGCTGGATGGCCTCTTGATTGCTCTGCTGGAGCTTCATAGAACCGCTCCTGGCCAGGCCGGCATCTAGAGTCAGGATAGCGATGACTATCCAATCAGGAACTATGACTTGTGTTTGACGCTTTGCCACATTAATTTCCGCTTCCTTTCCAAGCATTCCAGGGATTCCAAGCATTCTAAACGGCAACTGGATACATCATACATCTGGATATATGATATGATACGATATCAGCGTGAGAGCGATCTACGGCCAGAAAGGGAACTGAACTGTGGCTGATTCGGTGGTGTTCAAAGCTCTGAGCCAAAAGCATTTGTCGCAATAGATCAACCCCCATTAAACAACCAGTACGCCCTGCCGGTTGGGGACGTTTGTGGCTACTGCTCACCAGCAGTGCAGATCAAGTGCACAAAATAAAGATAAGTAGACTCTTGATTGCAGAATCCGGCTCAAGATGCTTTTTAAATATTTTTAATAGAGTTGTTGAGACATGTTCAATGCTTGTTTGATCTTGTTTGCTCACTAAAGCAGTCTTCCAAAGTAGGAGACTTGAATACTTGAGGACTTTGGGCCCAGAAATCGTTTGGCCAATGGTGTTTGAGGCTTGTTACGTCCGACGGGCGCTTCAAGCGGGGGTTCCACCCCTGCAGGTGCGTTTAGTGGAGCTTTACTGCGAGACGACACTGGAGGGCCTCGATGACGTGAAGTTTGAAGATGTCGCTTGGTGAGACCATGGGACCATGCGGGAGACATTTTCCAATGAAGACTCTTGTTGTGGGGTGGAAGACTGCAATAGGTTTCAAGTTCCAAAAACCCATGTTGATGGTCCAGAAACAGAGAAGACCACATACATATGATTGCTGAAATCAAGCTGTAGCTGCAATTCACTGGTAGATGTGCCATGATTGTCAATCGCCAATGACTTCAGGACTCTCAACAACATAACAACAAGTTCTTTATCAAGTCATAATGACATACAATGACCAACAGATACCAACAGATACCTTAACGTTTAAGACCTAGGCCCTGGCACTGCTGCGGATGCTGCCGCAGCTGCTGCTGGGACGTCCACCTGCAGAAGGCGAAATGGTGGTCTCGAAATGGTGAGGTTGGGATCAGTTGTGGGATTATAATGGATTATACGGTAACGCCATTTAAATATGTGGAGGGCGGGCCAGACCGCGAGGCCTCGGAGGTAGTACAGTATGAAATACCAGTTCGTATATTTAAATGTAGTTACCGGATGTTTAAATGAATTGGATTCCGTATGTTTAAATGGCCGGGCGGGCCAAGGAAAACCTTCCCGGAGGTAGTCTAAAATACCTGTTCGTATATTTAAAAGTCCGTATATTTAAATGTAGTTACCGTATATTATCATTATGGCATTTATTATTGTTATTATTATTATTTATTATTATTGTATATTACTTATAGGAACATTATGGGTATACTTAGGTCTATTTTGTTCCATCTCATTTATATCAATACTGTATCCCAGTATATATAGTAAGTTATATCTCATTTACTGTATAAATGATATAATCCCATCATACCATTGGTTTATGTCATTTAAATATCCAAAGTTGTTACATCTTACTTGGGGTCATCCAGCCAGGCAATTAGGATTTTTTTTGCGGGGATGGAGTGGAACCACAGGAACTGGTGATGGTTTGCAGGCGGCACCACCCCAACATAGCCGTTTGTTGGTAGGGGGGTCCGCTTACAGTATCAACTCAATGATGCCGTCGTGTTCAGCATTGGTAGAAAACAACTCTTGAAATCACCGGAGGTACTAGGCCTCATGAACGACCCTTGTAGGATGAACAGGACATGACTCTGTAGTACTTGAAGACCCTGAGCCAAACGAGAGCGGAGATCCGTGCGGAACAACATCATGAATGGTCCACGTTGATGTCTTGACTGTCTTGAAAAATCGCCCATAGACCTGGTACGGTATGGCCCGGTGGCAAGGGCTGGGTCCCATGGGTCCCATGGGTCCCAGCCATGGGATGAGTTCCCCGATACCGTATTATCTGCCGATGACAGCCAGCAAGGTCAGCATAGTTCAGCCACTTCTCATGTAGCCATCTTAGTTAAGGAAAATGTAACATGTTATAAGTTGTTATATATATATATATACATACATATGATATGATTATATTTATTATATATATATATACATATTTACATATATATAAAATTAATGAATGATTATAAATATATTCTGTTTAATGATATGAATGATCCCAGAATGATCCCATTGGATCCCTGGATTGCTCGAAGGTCAGGGGCTGCAACTGCTGCTGTGGGCGCAGTGTGATGTGGTCTTGGTCACCTCAGAGGCACGGTTTGATGAGGGGATCAGGATCTCTCCGAGAGGGGCCTGAAAGTAGAAGCTTATCATATATTATCATGTATATATATATATATAACATGTTATATATATATAATATAGTAAAATTATATAAATCATAATAATCATCATAATCATGTTCGTTCATATTCAGGATATTCCTGTTGGATATTTTGGTACTAAAGGCCATGATCCTGTGACCCAAACATGTTGATTTGTCAATGGCCGCAGGTCAGCTTCGATGTGCCTGAGGGCTGGGACTTTCCTGACGAGGTGCAGCTCGTCCTTTCTGTTGGCGACGGATTTCTGATGATTTCTGGGTGTTGAACCTGTGGAATTCGGGGGAGTGGCGCCATGTTCTGCTGTCCAAAAATGACATGCTATACTATGCTGGCTTAAAAGATGCAAGAATTGCCTTCCAAAATGGCTCACGGGTCATTGAGTGGTCTGTATATAGTATATAGTTGTAATCACAACATTTTACAACATTACACAAGCTAGGGAACTTCGCATGCATGGTTTCTCCAGAGACCCAGATCCTGCATGGAGCAGGTTGCTCCGGGTTCCATTGATGCCGCTGCGGCCAAGGAGAGCCGATGTGGAGTTTTACCTCAATGTTGCGTTTACGTTCAAAACTCATCAAAACTCCATAACCTACTATCTACCCATCAAAGCTGACTTGTAGTGATTTGTAAGATGTTTCCAGGTGTTTCCAGGTGTTTCCAGGTGTTTCCAGGTGTTTCCAGGTGTTTCCAGGTGTTTCCAGGTGTTTGCTTGGATTCTGAGTGTTTGCAGATGGGTACTTGAATGTACTTGATATCTTGTCTTGAGATTATTTGAGGCACAAATTGACTCCGCCCAGGGTCAACCTGGTGAGGACTTGGGCATCATGTGCCACGTGGTGGAAACTGAGCAGCTTGCCGTGGAAAAGATTTGCCACTTGGTGCACCACTTGGCCTCGGAATTTGGCCAATTTCTGCTGTGTGGAAGATTCAACGATTCCACAAGGATTCCACTTGTGTGGTTTGTGGTTTCAATATCTTTCAATAGTGACTAGTGTTGATGTCAATGATGTCAATATCCTCCAAGTTGAATAGTTTGAGCAGGGCTCAACGACCAACAGGGTATAGTGTTCAAATGTGTTCTAATGGCTTCAAGAGCGTCAAAGGATCACCTGAATCAACTGAATGCAGAGGTGAGAAACTATCGGAGTGCGCTCCAAACGCAGCTTGAATCTCAGAGGCAATCAGGAGGATCAGGAGGGCCAGTGACAAAGAGTAAGAACACGTGTGGATTCCATCCGTCCCAATCAAGGATGATGATCCACAATGATCCACACGCATATTTCTTCAGGTGAAACAAGCAACCAGCAATGGATATGCATCAAGCTTGAAAAAGCAGAGATAGAACTAAAACGCCATCGTAGCTTTAGTACACCTATATATCCACATGAGGATGCGATGGTTGCCTCTAAGTTTATATTACAAGGGTTGATTAGTTTTGATTAGCCAGGTTTTTTTTCGCTGAGAAACTCCTTGACTCAAGCAACACGGGACGTCGCCCATTCCTCCAGTCTGGATCTCTCAAGTCAACCTGTGATGTCCCGAGGTGGCACAAGCCAAAGGTTTCATCCACAAGGCGATGCCCGCACTTTGGTGGCCGAGGTGTCACCAGTTGTTTGGTATGCTTTGAATGTTGGAACAAGGCTAGAAACAAGGTTTGGCACTTTGCAAACGGAATTCATGTCAACCCAAGTCATAACTGTGCACTTGAAAGTCGCGTTCACCTTTCCAGAACGTACCGGAGACATTGTTGATTTGGCTGAATTGTTTTTTGGGGCCCGATTTAGGTCCACATGTGGAAGTCCGGTGTACTTGAAGGTGGCCCCTGGACCTCCCAGTAACAAGATGTAACAAGATACCGAGGATCCATCCAGCTGAGCTCACAGCCATTGCATCAGATTGGGAGCCAACCAATGTGTTCGGATGTCCTTCAAGAGCTGGCTGGACATGTTGCCGCTTGGCCAACTTGGGGCACCTGGATCGTCAGCTGGGCATGATAAATAATGTGTATATATATATGTATATACATATAGATGTGTGTGCTCACTGTATCTTTGTTTAATTTGATTTTAGAAGATACAGTATGTAATATATATATATTATAAATAAATCAGATAGAATTCGGAACCAAATTGTTTGATTCCAAAATTTCTGAGGCACGGCGCACAGAAGATCCTGAGTTTGAGGATTCCATCCGAGCCTTGTGGGACAAGGTGCACTTACCCGGTGATCCAACATGGCTGCAATCCCCCCCAAAAAAATGGGCTTTAATGAGGTTTAGATAGGTTTAGTATATTTTGAGACTGGGAAAATCATCTATACATATTTATACAGAATTATATATATTAATAATTATATATATACATAAATGGGTTAAGATAGCGATTATATGGTGAATTGTCCATTTCAGAGAGTGCAGAATGTCTACAAAATCACTCGCTTGGGTGTCGGCAAGGAGATGCAAGAGGAAACTGCCAAACGGGTGGGACATTAAAAAAAGAAAACATGTTCCAGCTGCAACACCACAGATGCAAACCGGACACTTTGTGCTTGGCACAGGCACATGTGCCAATCTACCGGCGACCCGACCATCGAGTCGTGACTGGGCCATCCTTGGGTCATGGATTTAGTTCAGCATCCAGGGAGGGGGAGAGACTTTCAGAGGTATTATGTTGAAATCTCATCACTACAGAATAATAAGAGCTATCACTTTTTTTTCAACCACTACATAGCATACATACCACTACTGTATTTGATCAAGTAGAATTGGCGCAAGGATCCATGCTGCTACTGGTAGAGGCGACAATGCAAACAAATTAAAGCTGTCCTTGGAGGCCCTGGCTGTCTGAAGTAGATCAAATCCATGAGTGGGAGCTGGGGTTGGAACAAGGATTGCACCCTGGAAAGGGTCATATGCAAGACTTGACCATTACAACAGTTGATGTCCTACTGTAAACCTGATCAACTACCGTATGATGACCTTGGCATTTGGTTCTTGGTTAGAAAAATGATGCCGCATCCTTTTTTTTCAAGAGCGGCTTGGACCCAGGTACCACCACATCTCGTTGGCCAGGAGAGTCCGGGAAAGCTGCGGAATCTGCCACTGCCTTCTATTTGTTTAAACATGTGATGAACGTTTTCACGACCTGATGCTCAATTACTGCAAGTTAACAATTGGCTGGGAAGAATGGTGTTTGTTGCCCTACCAGGCCAGAAAAATCATTGCGGAAGCTCCAAGGCGAACTCTCTGCAGCTTTTGGGATCAAGTATGAACAGGCCAAGAAGCAAAGAATCGTTGGCTAAAATGAATTGGGCAAGCGGTTTTGATTTAACCTGTTTTGGCTCAAGCCCAGAAGTGAATTTTGAATAGCAGATATAAAGTCAGTATGATCGAATTTCATTGTCTTGTCTTGCGAACATTTCCCAATAGCAAAGGTCTCGCTGTGCCATAAGAGATACTTGAAGTATCTTGAAGTACATGATTCTCACCGAGCCAAACGAGATCTGCCAGCCCAGCCTAACCATAGAGACCAGTCGACCAGCATGCTGCACAGCTCTCCAGCTTGAGCACCATGCTTCGTCGGGTGTTTCTACTTAGCCTCCAGCTGATCGCATGCCGTGTTGCGCCTTGCCATGACTTCATGTTGATGTAATCTGAGTCTCCAAATGGTTCCAAAGCCACACAATTTGATGCGGAAAGCTGATGTTGATCGGTGATTCGCGGATGTCGCAAAATCGTTCAGCATGTTTAAATGATTTTAAATACGTTTATTTTTTTTTCAAACCACTTAAATCACTTAATTTGAGACCCTGAAGCCGCAGAAATCTGAAATCCTCTCTGCTCTGATGCCCCAATTCTGAGCCTTGTTGGTTTACATCCTCATTTTGGCTGCTCAATGAGGCTCAATGAGGCTCAATGAGGCTCAATGTTCCCCACATTTCTATACTATATATATATATATATCTTCATTGCATCCCCATGTTGTTTGGCTGATTATGGCATGCTGGTTTCGCAAGATCCGCCTTTTGATTGGTTGAAACCCGCTATCAACAATCTAAAATCTATCTTGAAGCTTCTACCCAATGCTTGAAATCCTCTAGCGCTATCTCATGATGTACCATAACATCACATTTCACATCATATAACCATCCTATAAAATATGATAATTTAATATATAATTATAATATATATATATATAATTCAGATATTATGTATGTATATATATATATAACTTATGTGTTCATACTATCCATTGATAGATATCCCATAAATCCTTACATTTCATAAATGGGAGATCCACTCAGGCCTTGGAGGTGGAGGTCTCCGTTGAGGCGGCATGGCCGGCCGCCTCCCTGGCAGCCGAGCTCTTGGAAGGTCTGTCCCAATTGGATCGAGGCGGGGAGGGATCTAAGGTACGCCATTTGTTACAAGAAGCTAGCTATGGCCATATATTGATATATATATATATACATATATATTATATTTATATATATATATGATATTATATGTATGAATAATATTATAATATAGAAAATCACTATTATAAAAAGGTAAACTTTAAATCAACTGTAAATGGGCTATTCTCCATAGCGTCAAATTACCAGATGATCATTTGAATGTGGAAATGTGTGGAAAAATATGACGAACCATGGATTTGTTTGTTGGGTTTCACAAGTTGAGACAAACAAATGGTGGTCTTGTTTTGAGATGGTAGATGATGGTTCGTTATTTGTACTCTCTATATACTATAATTACAATAATTATACATATATATATACATACATATATATACATACATATATACGTGTGTGTTTGTGCTGTAAATGTGTATATATATATATATACACACACACTTTATTTGTGAATTTAAGGCTGTAAGGTATGCAGTATGCTGCATAGTAATCTTATATACGTATGTTTGTATCAATTCGCGTTTACGCGCGTGTACTGGTTAGTTTGGACCAGTGACTCTCTACCAACCAACATCTTATGACCCGACTGTGTCAACAGAAGCTTGTGGGCTGACAGCAGGTGCTGCCTTCCTACGGAGTTTGGCCGAGGCGCCAAAGTTTGGTGATCCCCTGGGGTCTGGAATGCAACTGCGATATGGAATGCGTCACAGCAGGCAAGGCAGGCAAGTTCTGAACCTATGACCATGATCACTGCCCCAAAATGTCTGAATGTGTTGGCTTCCTACAAAAGCGAGCTGCGACCCCACAAGTTTCAACTTTGCAGGTTGATGTCGAGAAGGCCGAGTTTCAACAGCGTGCCGTAGAGATTGCTGAGCAGCTGCTTTGCTGCCAGGGACAGTCTATCTATGGCAGGCGCGTGGGGCGTGCCACAGTCCAGCAATCATCGATCAGACTCGAATGATTGATTGGATGTCCACTTTCTATCAAAGGAACAAGTAAAATAAAATGATCAGATATGTATTTGTGTACGAAGCTACATGTAGTAAAATGTAGATTAGATATGATTAGATCAGAGAAGACAAGATTATTCGCCTGATAGATAGATCTCTTGAGCGGCGGTAAATACCTACACTCACAAACATCCCATTCCACAACATAGGTATTATGGGTCGAAACCTATGGGCCCCATAATTTGGATATTGGGGGACGAACATCCATTTACCATATTTACCAGCTATTTTGGGCTTCACCAGGGTTCACCATAGCCACATCTCCAGGCTGTTGTCCCTTCGTGCTCGCCACGCTTTTGCCTCTGCCGTGGTGGAAGCAGCGCGAGGTGGCAGGGTTGAGCCTTCCGTTGAAAGAAAGACTATACTTAAGACTTAAGTAAAGATTCTACAATACAAAAGGATACAACCGGTATGCAAGGTTGATAAATTTATTTTTTCTTTTTGGTTTTGTTGATTTCTTGCCATGTCTCCTCGTGATTCTGGTGGTGTGCCTATTGTGTGCACCTCGAATGCCACATTCCCTTCCAGGCATGGAACGAGCCGATCGAGCAGCTTTGGAGGAGCAAAACTTGCTGAATCCCCAGTCCCTTGGCTGCAAGGATGAGGGATGCTGGGACAGTCTGGGGGACATCCATTGCTGGGAATGATCCAAGGAGGGGTTGACCTACGAATATAACATATATACAATATACAATGATATATATATATATATATACATACATACATACATACATCTAATATCATACCAGTATAATATCATACAATATCATGTAATGAGCTCACGTGCCTGTTGTGAAAATTCGACGTTGTTCAATGGGATATTTCCCAATGTGTTTCTTCATACAACAATCATGTACGGACACAATACCGTGCTGTCCTTCACAGTCCCTGCTCGGTAACTGCTGCAGAAAGTGCACCCCGTTCCATCATTATCAGATTCAACATCGTCATGCAAGTAGGGTATCACAAGCAGCCCATGTATCTGGCTTTCCAAAGGAGCTGTGCGATCGGTGAGCCATGGATACTTCTGCAGTCGCCCAAATCTTTCCGTGTCTGTTTCTCAGATGGATGCAGGCTTGTCTGAAAATAGGACACCCCAAAAACCTTATGGTGTATCTTCATCATTTCATATCATTTCATCATGTTCCAAATCATGCAGCATATCTCAATGGTCATGTTGGGGCACCCCATGGCACCCCCCAATTTATGGACCTCTGAAATCACTGAGCCGAGCTGTCCCCAGGTCCTGTGTGGCGAAGAAGTGGCGAAATTGGCAGATCTGGTGCCTCGGTGATCCAGCAACCGATCGCTCCTAAATGCTCCTATGTCATGAGTATGTCATGTATACATACAATGTGGGGCCCCCCAGTTATAAGTTGGTTTATAAACCCCATTAACTATAGTTATAAGTACCATAAACCATAGTTATTGGAGTTATAAACCAACTTAGCTATCTTGGGGGCCCCACATTGTATGATACATGGGTTACATCTACTGTATGGATGTAGATTTACATCATTTTACATCGATGTTTATACCAGAGTCATTTAAGCCAATCCATACTAATGGTTGCGGACCTTGTTAATTCGAGATCGCTCACGAGGACTGAGAACAGGCGACACCTGTCCACAAAGAATCACCTGTCCATTACTTCAAGAGGGGTTCCCTCCCAGCTTTCAGGATGTCTCAGGGCTTCCCCGACAAAGTTTGTGAAGATTTGGGATGGTTAGCATTTGTTACATATTATTCTATATATTATATTATATATTATATATTATATATATTATATGTTATATTATATGTTATATATTATATATTATATATTATATGTTATATATTATATATTATATATTATATGTTATATATTATATATTATATATTATATGTTATATATTATATGTTATATATTATATATTATATATTATATATTATTATTATATTATATTATATATTACTATATTATATTATATTATATTATATGCATAGCAAACATATGGTTACAATATAGTATAATATAATATAATTACATAATACATATTGGTATATATTGGTAAATACTATTGAAAGCTGCGTTGAAAAGGTAGGTTTGCGGGGTTGTAGCATATTTCTTTGGAACACATCGACCCAAGCGCCACATCATGACGCTTTTCTTCCCAGGTGTTCCAAGACGGCGAGCCCGCCTCGGGTCAGCGTGGAGCGCCAAGACAAAGTTGCTTGGTGTTTGATCACGGCGTAAACAGAAAGGGTGAAAGGGTTTTGACCCATAGCAATATGTCACAACTTGGAAAACAGGACGGCAGAGGAGCTTCATGAAAAAAGATTTAGTGGGGATGAGGATGATGATGATGATGATGATGATGATGATTCACTGATGATGATGATGATTCACTGTAGGTGTTTTGTGTTTTTTGACAAATCCGGATGTCGAGGAGATGTCCATGACATGGGGGACATTCAAAGATATTAAAACCATACCAGAATGTTGATGTCAGTAAATTTGTTGGTAGGGAAACCCGTCCATTTGGAGTGGGTTCCCAAATCTTAAGCCAAAGCTGTTTGGCGCACTGAAACTATACGGATACACTTGCCATAGAGTTTGAAGCCTACTGCACCCAGCTCGAAATGTAGCCGAATTGAGGTGGATTAGATCATGTGCTTTATGATTCCCCGGAGTTGCAAAACGACACTGCAGATGCTTGGCAGGATCACACTCGAAGCTGTGAAAGGTCGTGTTTTTTTTCAGGCACATGACGTTGATGGACGCAAACCAAGCATAACCAAACAGGATGTATGCCTGAAGAAATGATGGCATGGTACATCAATTCGATTCAAACTTGAGTCCCTCAACGTGCCTTAATCCTGCTCCGCCCTGGCTCCGCAGCACTTTTGACGATCAAATGGATCGGGGGGTTCACGGTCATGGGGGGGTTGATGTCGCGGCAAGCGATGACATGCTGGGTGGAGGATCATTGAAGATCACAAAGATACATGAAGACTAGGCCCAAATCCCAAAATGCCTGGCACATTCTTACGTAGCTGACGCTACAAAGCCCAACAGAGTACTGTTTACGCGTGTGTTCTGCGTACTTTTTTCCCAATCCAGCAAAACTTATCTCATCAACTGAGCCATACAACGCAGTAATTAGATCCCCATGGCTAGCACCATGGGACACGTGTAAATCGCATGACAAAGAGTGACGACATCAAGATAAATCAAGTAGATCAAGTGAGACTTTTCCATGGATTCCAGTGCCATGACATATAGTTTCTATGTGTGTCTATCACCAACAAGAGCTGAATTTCCATTCTGCGATGTTTTGCTATGTCCAGACGCAAAATGTCTCGTGACATCGAAGATGCCAACGAGGCGCAAGGTTGATGAGTTGATCACCAAATCTCTTGGACCAATGTGCCAATGTGCCAATGAAAGGCTAAAAAAAACCCTGATGACTTGTGTAACATTTTGCAACTACCTTTGTTAAGAGATAAGGTGATTATTTTGGGAAGACACTGCAACTGTACTTAAAGACTTGATTCTTGCCTGTGATGCGGAAAGCATGGAGAACGGGCTAGGGTTGTGTCATTCATGTCGAGCCTGCATGTAGTTTGGCAGGTTGAGTCTGGGTGAGTGCTAGGGTTGCAACGTAGCACCATCTGCTGTCTCCAAGCTTGTGCGCCTGAATCAAGATCCTTTTGTCAATGATGTGGAAATTAGTTGCATATGAATGCATATGACATGTACAATCATGTACATATATATATATTTAAAAAACATTACATATGCATGTATTAATACATACATTCATAGTCACAGTCATGCTCATGTACAGATACTTCAGATATACAACAATATATATTATATTATATTATATTATACAATAATGCATATATTGATACATATATTGATACATATATTGATACATATATTGATACATATATTGATACATATATTGATACATATATTGATACATATATTGATACATATATTGATACATGTGTAGATAGATAGATAGATAGGTAGATGGATAGATGGATAGATGGATAGATGGATAGATGGATAGATGGATAGATGGATAGATGGATAGATGGATAGATGGATAGATGGATAGATGGATAGATCGATGGATCGATGGATCGATGGATCGATGGATCGATGGATCGATGGATCGATGGATAGATGGATAGATGGATAGATTGATAGATTGATTGATTCATAGATTGATTCATAGATTGATAGATTGATAGATTGATAGATTGATAGGTTGATAGATTGATAGATTGATAGATTGATAGATTGATAGGTTGATAGATTGATAGATTGATAGATTGATAGGTTGATAGATTGATAGATTGATAGATAGCTAGCTAGATAGCTAGATAGATAGATACATACATACAGTATCATACAGTTATATGTTATATATATACTGTATGTACCATTATATACATTTATATATTATACATCTATGTATCGATTGAGGACATACACTTACAGTGTTGTCTTCGATAGCATGGCTGGAATGGCTGCAGGCTGACCGGGAGGCAACCCGCAGAGGCCGGTCCTTGAATTTCCTTTCGGGATCGTCGGTTTGTTCGAACTGGGCAAAGGGAAAATCCCACTGTTACTGGCTATAGCTACTATAGCTATAGTGTTTGATGTTGTTTGATGTTGTTTGATGTTGTTCGTAGATATTTTTCTAGAATCGGGACCTGGAAAAAATCCGTGATGTTTGTTTCCTGGAGGGTGAAATGTAGAGAATGTGGGTTAATTAAGGATGCCACATGATGCCACACCGAGGCTATGAATATCAGCCAATCGAAGCTGGCTACTCTCCCGACAACGAGGGCACCAGCAACCGGAGAATACTTTGGACCTGTGCTTCGGCAAGCAGTTTTGGCTAGGTGAATGGGAGCCAGAAGATGCCAGAAGGAATTGTGGGGAACTCTGAAGAAGACAAGAGATGACAAGAGTGTCCAATGATTAGATGGCATCCTCTGCATTTCTACAGCTGTGAGGATTTGAAAGCTCCAGTGGTATATCCAAGGGTTCAGTTTGGTCAGCCACGATCCTCCCAACCTCAGAAGGTCGGAATTATATTTTGATACATCATTCGCCGAATCATTTGCGACGTAAGTTCCTAGATGTTCCTAGGTCCTATCATTTTTGGAAGGCAGATCACGGCAAATCTCGTGTAGTACCCAGGGGTAGCATTGGATTTCTGTCACCGTACGGATGTGGGCCCTGTGGGAGGGATGGGCAGCCGAGGTTCTGCGGGGATCCTCTTGGGATTTGCAGCAGCTGCATGTTTCTTCTATGAACGCATGGACCGTGGAAACTCGATAAATTGAACTAAGACAGTGTGCTATGTTCAGTCGTTTTTCTGTGGTTTATGAGCTTGCGTTTTTCTTGTAACTTGGTTTTGTAGCTTTTCCAAGCCGTTACAGCACAGGCAAAGTTCACGACGTTGGCATCCTGAGTACTTGTCGCGGGAAGGACTGCAGATTCGACTGCAGTACCTCAGGCTCAACAGTTTTCTCGAGCTCGGGAGGTCAAGGGCATGGATCTCCACAATCTCAAATCTGTCAAGCTTGGCCCAAAACTACCTGTGAAATCCCTTAAGTCTTCGTGAATTCATTGTTGATGGGTTTGTTCGTGCAGCAAATCCAAAATATCCAAACATTTACATATACAGTTACAATCATTTACAATCATTTACATTGATACAGATAGATGTCCTACCTGTTCCTACAGCACTGGTTGGGAGTTCATCTTTGGTATCCCATGGTATGCCATTTTCTGGTGCAACAACTCACGCTGAGGTGCAGGCAAAGATGAATGGGTACCTTGGTCCTTGCTGTCCAGTAGATGGGGGATTCCCCAAAATGGTCATCTAAAAGCAATGTATAAAATTACTTTACTTCGAGTGATCCCCACCCTGGCATTTCAAGTCATATATTCTGACATATATTTTGACATTTTACCTAACATTCTATCTGACATCTATTCTGATATTCTATCTGGCATATCTTCCAGCATTTTATCTGGTATATATTTTGGCGTTCTATCTGGCATATATTCTGGCATTCTATGTGGCATTCTTTCTCGCATATATTTTGGCATTCTATGTAGCATATATTCTGGCATTCCATCTGGCCGCTGAGGTCCAGCGGTGCCCACTGGGCTCGGAAGGTCCCTGGTTGAGGTCCAGCAGTGCCCACTGCGCTCCAGCCGTGCCCACTCAGATGAGCAGCCGGAACAGCTGTGATAAAATCTAACAACCCTCACCTGGCAGGTGGGGAAATATGCTGTAATCGAATTCAATAGATCATTGTATTTGGGATTCCAATGTTTGAGACAACTCCAAATGAGTATCCTTGAAATCGTAAGGTGTTTACTTTTTGCTTGCATAGTGCTGCAACAGCAAAATGGTCCAGTTGCACCCCGTGTCCTGAAGTAGAAAGAAATAGAAAGAGTCAAAGAACGCAGGTTCTGATTATCACACAACCTGCACAACTCAGAAGCCCTTGAAGCCCTTGGGTTTATAATCGAGATCCCTTGGTCCAGGTCACCAGGTCCAGTCTGACTGTCCTGTCCAGGTTTACCGTGCAAACATTTGAGAACTTTGTGTTCGGGTCGATGGTTTGTGACAGAACCCAAAGACAATCCAACAACCGCAGGATGATTTGGAATGTTATATCATGTTATCATGGTATATGAATCATGGTACCGTGTTTGTGTGTGTATGTATGCGTATGTCAAACTGAGAGCAACCAGTTTGTAATTGCAACTGGAGCACGACTCGCTCCACCGAAAATGTTCCTTGCCCGATCTCTAGGAAGCCAAGTGGTCGGCGAGCAAGAAACTCTACTGCTGCTGGGATTCCAGTGGGATTCTACGGCAGAGGCTCACCCAACCACCAACCACCAACCATCCCCAAGGTTTCATTATGGTCATTGCTCATTTGGATGACCATGTATGACCAAATCCAACCGATTGGGCTATCTTCAAAGCCTTCCAGCCGGTTGGATGGTAGCAACGGTAGCTAACGTTGGTCTTCGAAAAACTGGTCCTAGGATACTCTGTCTGTGGATAGCAAGACTGTACTAGTTTGAACAGCCTGTGGTTCTGTTGACGAATGACTTGGACCGGAGTCTTCAGTGAAGGGTTAATCCATGGAGCTCTATTCAAATAAGGTGTTTGATGGTATTTGCAGATCATGAATGGTTGAGTATGCCAGTCGATTGTGTTGAGCTCTAGTTGGTCTGCTTTCCTGATGGAAATATGTTTGCTGGTTGATGGCGGTTAAAATAACGTCTCCTCAGGCTTGACATGTATTGTATATTGTATATCATGAATGCTAGTTTGGATTCAAAGTTCCAACTTGTCAACCGCTGCATCGTGGTACCAAGTTGAAATATGTTGAAATGGTGTAGCTTGATATGTCTGTTGGATGTTTGTCTCACTTGTTTTCCTTTGTTTGTTTATCTTCCACTCCCTTTACTACGTTACAGCCCACTTGAACCAGTGCGCCCATGCAACACGCTTGCATCATTACCACTAAGGCTGTGGCATGACCTGCTTGGCCAAGAGTGTGAAAGCAGATGCGCATAACTCCCACGTCCAGTTGGAAAGCAGAGGTCCAAGCACCGCCAAAGTCACTGGGAACGCAGTTGGTGGGGCCTTTAAGAAGTTATCCATCTAGCACAGGTGAATCAGGTGATGTGTCTGCCTGCCCAATGGTCTCCTTTGTTGGCGGGATGGATGAAGCGTAGAATCAAGAAAAAGGCTATAAATTTGTCACTCCTTACCATTTTTGGACCCACGCACTTTCCAAGTGTTGAGTCAGATAAAGGATTCTGCTTTCCACCATGAGTGGACCCCTATCTTCAACTTCTTTAAGTTTCAGCCTTACAACTTTTCTCCCCTTGAACCCAGGGATTTTGACTTCTGTTCAGATGCTGAGGTGTCTTGCAAACTACGGCCTCCAATCTCTTAATATCTCTTAATGGTACAATGGTTTATGTGTTTGATTGAGACTAGAATCTTTTCTAGCCGTCTCAGACCCCTATCTGTATTAATTACTGAAAGACATCCTCAAGGGTTTTCGAAGGAGCCCGCCTACAACAAATAAATATATAGCCAACCTTTTTGTAGAATTTGAAGTTCAGCTCTGACAATGAAACAAGTGACCACCCCAAACTATCCCTACTAGTATCAATATTATCAATGATGTGCTCAGTTGAAGGCGATCATCGAAGCAGGAGGTCCTATTCTACAATTCCACGCTGATGTAGTCAAACCGCATCCTTCCGTGAAGCGGTTTGGAACATGGAATTAGGGAAGCTGTAAGGCACCATGCGTTCCTTCCAATTGACAAACAACGATTAAAAAGGTTTAAAGGCCAGAAACGGACTGACCTTCTTCGGCGACAACACACATTTCATTAAATTGAATCACTGCAAAGTCACATAGAGACCAGAACCCCTCTGTAAAGTTGGATTTGAATGCATGCATCCATATTAATATGCATCCGTCTTTCGAATTGCTCCACCATTCCTTGCAGCAACATGCAACAAGGCTGCAACCATCAAGTTGAACTTCGAGTAATTGAATGATATTGAATGTAATTTCTTCATATTTCTTCAATTGATACATCCATGGGCAATTTCTTCTGTAGTTTCGCCCCTGTTTTCCATCTCCAGCAGAATCATCCCGATCCGAGGCGCATCGAATCACTGGGAAAAGCCATTCTGTCGCAGGGAACACACGAACCAGCACCAGCGTATCTTTGCTCAAGATGTTCAAGTTCAGGCAGTTGAATATCAGTTGAATAAGCTCAAGTTATGCCATGTTATGCCACGGAACAGTGTTACCAATTGTGGACTCAGATATCGTGAGATAATTTTAGTGTTTGTCCACCGAGCAGAACCAAGAAATACAACGGACAGAGTTTGCGTGTGTTTCTGACGCACCAACTCACAAGTGGCATACTTATTCTTTTTGCCAACAGGGGCATTGATGTATAGGTATTGCTGTATGTACATCGCATGTTCCTATTGATAAATTCATTATATTTATTATATTATATAATATATTATGTTACCCCACTATATTGTATATATTGTATATTGTATATTATATACTATATATTATATGTTATATATTATATTATGAATGTAAAGATATATATATAGGGCGAAGGCTGGGGGTTCCCCGGAAGCCAATTGCATTTTATTTGTATGGATATGGAAAATGTTGATTTTACACTGTGTTTTACAGTGTTTTATGCTTTTCTCTGAAAGTGTTCGATCAGCCAAAGTTTCAATGTCGGCGCGGATAAACTTGACGTTTGTCCGCGCAGAAAAATGATAAATTTACATCTTCCATGGATGGCCAAAAATGTGTGCAACATTCTAACCATTGGAATTGCGGTTCCATGCATTTTTGGTCGTCTTGTTGATAACTAGAAAATGTCATAATTCACTGGAGAACCATGGACGAAATGAACATCACACCTTTTTCATCTTCACGTCCACAAAGGCTTTTTGAAGCAGTTGCTTGGAGCGAGAGCAACAACGATACTTACAACGTAACAACATCGTCAACGAAGCAACATCCTCAAGGTTTCCACAACTCTGAATCCAACGCGCTCCACATGACGTTATTACACCCCCCCCACCCCCCCACCCCCAATCTCTATACAATAACGACGTTTGTAGTATAGGCTCAAGACTGAGGGTTCCTGGAAGCTCCGGGGAACCCCCAGCCTTGAGCCTATATATATATATTATTGAATATTATATATTAAATATTGTATATTATATATTATATTATATTATAGATATTATATTATAGATATTATATTATATATATTATATTATGTTATATTATATTATATATTATATATATTATATATATTATATATTATATATATTATATATATTATATTATATATTATATATATTATATTATATATATTGGATATTATGATATTATGTATTATTATACTATATCATGTTTGATAGTCATGTATAATATACACATAATACTTCAAAGTAGTTTCAAAAAAATCAAGAACTCGGGTTGGCAATGGTTGAACCGTCACGTTGAGGTGACCACGGTGACCACAACCACGGTCACGGTGACCGTTTCGAGCACCGGGACGATACCGGCGACGACCATGATGAAGCTCTCGTAACTTGATGCGATTTTGGAGATCAGTTGGTTTCTTAAGTCGTGGGGGATGCCACAAAAATGGATTGTTTATAATGGAAAATCCTACTAAAATTTACTAAAATGATCTACTAAAGTGGATGATTTGCGGTTCCCCATTTATGATGTTTCTATGGCCTTAAAGCATCTTAAAGCCTGAGATTTCAGCTTCTGTATATATATATATAGGTCGTGAAACACATCCGAGACAGGGAGCTAGAGAATGCTAGCGAACCCTAAACCCAGAGATACGCAGAGGTTGTCCTCCTTTGTAGTGATACCACGTATGTTTCAAGGTAAGAACACAAAGAGCTTCGAAATGATGAGTGAAGATTGGACATCAAATTTTGACCTTGTGAAGTGTGAATTCCCTTTAAAATGCATCGTGCATCTATACACAGATTACACAGTTTGTTTTCCAACTTTCCACTACCAGTCCCTTTTCTTGCCGATCTGTGGCACTGGATTACATGCTCACCTAATACGGACCTGCACAGACATGTATATAAGACATTGTAGCGATATTCAGTGCGTTTCGTCACAATTCAGCGCATCATGCTTGGTTTCTTGGTTTCCAATACCAGTCCGCAACACTTTCCTCCAATGGAGTTCTGAGTGATGTTCATTTTCGGGAAGGGATCAATGGCTGGCCTAGGGGCGGTGATTTACTCCGCAATGCCCAGAAAGATCCGATGCTTGGTCCAATAGAAATCATGGAGTGCAAACGAGATTCGCCTCATTTTGAGCCACGCTCGCGATACAAATTGGCAATAGGGATCCTGGGATAATGCGTTGATATCCCGATTGACTTTTAGAGGATGACTCAGTGACGCTAAATTCTGTGCAATATCCCCCTGGTCCATGCTAAGGAGAACAAACATGAATAAACAATATCTGATACAATTGCTTGAAAAGAACGGATGTTTCAAGATTGCAACTTTCTGAACCGTGGTTTGCGTCTCAACCTCCTTCCACCAGGACGTTTTCCGGCCAGCAAATTCATCAGCCATCAATTCTCAAGGCGGGGTGAGCTCTCCCCACGGCCGCCACCCCACTTGACACTTTGATGTTCTATTCACTTCCGCTATTTCGAAGGTTTTAGGGAACTTCCATGTTTGGTGAGTGCTTGGCCGCCCACTGATGAACTTTTTGGTGAAATATATAATTGTGAAATTGGTGCCCTTTCATGTACACTTGGCTGAAACCGCTTTGCAGTGATGTCATACACGTTTTGCATGTGCTGGAGATGGTATACTGTGTATACACACATATATATATATATATATTCATATTTAATAGATTAAGTTATCTTATATGATATATTAAATATATATATTCATATTTAATAGTTTTTTACATAATATTTTTATTAGATATATAATATTTATAATTTATAGTTAACATTTAATATATAATTTAATAATATATATATATAATTATATATACAGTACATACACAGATATGCACACGAGCACATATGTTCCAAGTCAAACGGCCCACGCCATGTCAGGGCATCAGCTACTGTCCGGTTCCCGTGAAGAGCGTGATGTCGCTGAAATCTGACGACTGGATGACGGATTTGGCGAAACCCTTGTGGAGTGCAGCAGGAAGAGGAGATCTGGAAGTCATGCATTCCTTGGGAGCTAATGCTGTTGCTCGGCAAAGGCATGGATCTTGGGATTTGTTCTTGGGATTTGCAAGGCCCGAGGCTTGAATAAGATGATTCTAGTCGTTCTTGAGTTCGGTAGCCGGAAACATCGGGGTAAACATTAGAGTTTCCCGTTGGTTTTCCATGCCCAGGTTCGACTCTATGGGAACAACCCCGAGCTGCAGCATGGGGACTTTCTGGATGAAGCTCAGAAGAATGCCCTGCACGTCATTCCTGGCATGAGCCACTCGTCATTGTAAGAAAACGTTGCTTTACGATGAACGTTCTGGGCAAGGGTCTGGGAAATTTGGGTGAAACCAGATGGAAATTTGTGCTTAAGAAAGTAAAAATGTACGGATGTATATACTGTAATTTCGAGTATAGTTGAGGACAGACTAAGAAGGAGGGAAGACCATATCTGGTTTTGTTTGTCATGATGGCAACTAGTTAGTTCAGGATGAGAATGAACATCCAAAGATGCGACAATCTAATACAATCTATCTAGTCACGTGTGCCTAGCAGCCAGAGGCATCAGGGAGCGTCATGTTGGAGCGGTCGGGTCTCAGTGTTCCTTTCAATAAGTGGCTATGACGGGACGCTGTAGGCGATTGCATCCAGGTTACCACATCATCTTCACCCAGAGTTGTGGCTAAAAGCAGTAAAATCATCATTGAATGGGTGGATTACCTGACGAATGATGTCCTCTCACCTCTCACCCCCTTGAGGTGACTTTCCTTACACTCAGGATCCTGACCAGAAGCTGGCCTAAAAACTCCAAGTCATTTTGAGATTTCCCTCAATTTGGGAGAATATCACAAGAAAACTCATCGGTTTGAAGATTTTACCGGCAAGATGTAGCACTTTGGGCTCCACCAGGAACTGTATTGCGACGGAGTTCAACTGCTTTTCGCAGGTGAAAAAACAATATTCGCAGAATCTCAAGAACGGTTTCTTGAAAAATGGCCAGCATCTTGGCACTGCAGCCTTGACCTGACATCTGCATTACAAATAGATATATGATACAACATGATACAACTATAATGTCAAGTCTGGCTCTCTGACTCTGGACACTTGTTTGTTCCTGGTACTGGGTCAAAGTGCGTATTTTGGCCATTTGTTCCTTCACCAGGAGAACAATGCGACCTTCAAACAAGTTCAAGAAAAGACCTGTTCAACTTCAATCAAGCAACCAAACATTCAATGGTGTTGTTTGCGCTTGTTCTATGTTGTAATTGTTCTGTACTGTCTATGCGGTACTTGTAGTGAGGCTTGTGGTGTTTTTTTTCGAGATGCCTTGGGCCTGAGGTATCATCCAGCCCTTTCCTATTTCATTTTGATCAACGAGCCGGATCTCAAAGTGCCGACTACTGCCGACTCAGTTCCGGAGGAGCCATCAAGGGGTGTTTTAGCACTCAATGTGTGCTTTGAGGTGTGTAGGTAAGAAACAGAAGCATTTGCAATGAGAATTTCGCAAGAAATCAGCACAAGTCCAAGAGTCACACCCCAGATCTTTTTTGTGGCAGCCATGGGATGTTGAAGCTTGGTCTGCAGCAAACCAGGATTCGCAGAAATTGGCAAGAGCCATCATCAGCGCTTTTGATGCAGTGCTTGATGCGGAGCAAGATGCTGGCATCTTGGCCTGACAAATGGCCGGAAACTTGCTGATGCTCCAGTTCTCAACAATAAACCAGGGGCCTTGGTGTGAAAATGTGTGAAACGAGTGGTGTTTGGTTTGGGTGCTCCATGTACCAAAAACCATCAAAAACTATTTGCTTACGGCGGGCTATCCAATGGGTAGGTTGTAGGGGTAGGTTGTAGGGCCGTAGGGAGCCAAGTAGGCTCCAGTCCATTCTCTTACCCATTCTATCCATCTCATGTGCACTGGCCAAGAGATGCTCGACGAGCCAAAGTTATAACTGGATCAAATACAAAAGTTCGACCTGCGCCAGAGGTTGTCTCAGTTTCTAGGGCTTGTATGTTGAAAGGTTTGAAAGCCCATCTCTGGGTTCCTATGGTTCTCGTCCAAAATGTGAAAGCACTCAGGGTGACTACATGATCCCAACTCATCGTTTGGCTGCCAAAAAAAGTGTACGGGAGAACCAATCCATCTTGTGGTCGGGATGTAAAAACATCCAATACATGGCTTCCAGTGTTACAGCAACCACATGGCATTTATTGACTACCTGGCTTGATTTTCCAAGGACTTTTGCTGGGCATCAGATGTTTGGCTTGATCCGGCATAAGTGGATCGATGGTTTGTCCATTAATAGATATTAAGAGTGGATTTAGCCCCACCATAGTGATAATATGTGATCATATGAGATGATTCGATTCAAGAGTGTACCACAAAAATTCAATGGTTCAAAGTTGACTGAAATCTGTGGCTGCCTCCCAGTAATATCTTGGCCTATGGGTCCTAAATCTTGACCCGGCACTGAGGTGTCCATGGTCCCTTCATCAACTTCACCGCGACCTTTTCCTATGCCATTTGTAGCGTGTGTCCCAAGAGCCATGGCTTGCCTGCCCTTGGCCAGATGCTGTTGGTGGAAGATGCCATGATGCATCCTGAGAAGTATGGCTACAAGCCTCGCCATTTCCTCTATGCTGCATATCTAAGGAGCTCCATGGAGCTCCAAATCTTAGTTTTTTGATATCAGATATATTAGTGTTGTGCATTCTTGCAGGCTGTCGTTCCGAATTGTTGTTTTGAAACAGCAGGCAGCAAGTGCAAGATTGCTCCTGGTTGGAAGTTCGCACTGCAGAACTCTTCCATCATGGCGCACAGGAGATGGGTCAATAGCTTCAATACCGCCAATGAGGCAGCAGATTTGCATAGAACCTTCTTCAGTCATTATGATGCTTGGCATGGGTGGAATGACAGAGGCAAATATGAAAACACATGAAATCACAAATTTTGTTTGGAGGGTGTAAAATGGCCACTAGTGATCTTCAATCAAGAAGGACTTTGACCATCCCCAAAAGGGCGCTGGACGCCTGGACGCCAAGGAGAAGTCCTTTTCGGTGACGCCGGTCTTCATCGGTGAATACCACAAGCCAGGAGGACCCGTGCTGCAGGAGGTTCAACAGATTCTACAGCTGGCAGATCAGATGCCCTTATTTCTGGGCATCAACTTCTTTGAGTTCCAAGTTTCCTGCTGGAAAGGCCCCTGGGCCCTGTTTTTTTGAACCAGGGGGACAAGAGCCATCTGAGGAAAGCATCAGAGGAATCTATATAATTGACTTGAAACAAGTCGCCGCTCAAACAATTCAACTCTTCCTTTGGGAAGCAGAAACAGGTAACTTGTGGCCTGTTCTCCTTCATTTGTTTCCAACAAACTCTTCCGCGAGCTGTTGATCTCACCCACATAATGCGAGGTGGTTCTGAGATGCAGTTTGGTTTGTTTGGACTTGGCGGTTATCCCATCGGCAAGTTCAGCTATGCGGATGGATCGCCGCTGGGACTCAAACCACAAATCTTTGCGGCTTGGGGGCGGCCTCATCATTGTAGGTTTGCAGGACACCATCAAAACGTCAAAATAGATCTGAGTTGATACATAGGTTCCGTGACAATTTCATGGCATTGTAAACAATTTTACTGATACCAATCTAAAACCAACTTGCGTGAATTGTGTGAACTTCCTTTGCCGCAAAGTAACAGTCAGTGTGATCGTGCGCATCCTGCTGAAGATAATGATGTGTTTTTTCGCCCCCCAAGCTTTGACAGAAGCGAGCAGTAGGTTGTCCCCATGGTGGCACTAGACAAGGTGCACTGCACATGGAGGTCTAAGCCCCAATAATGGCTCGCAGTGAATCTAAGTTCTGGCAAATCGCTAGGAACCACTGGCCAGTGATTCAGTTTACCACTGTAGCTTAGGTGCAGACTATTGTATACCCTGATGCGAGGACTACGTGTATCGAAATGATCATTAATTAATGTCTACCAGTCTTGGTTTTTGCAGTATATAATAATATCTAGAGACGTATATTATATATATACAATCATACATTATATTCACAGATTATACATGATTATACAGTATATTCCTATACAACTACAGCAGCAAAGCATCCTCCCAACACCCCTACCCTCTTAAAAATTCAATTTGAGGGGGGGGAGTCGTACTGAAATTTCATTTTAAAATTCCATTTTTGCAATCATGCTTTCTCAATGATTGATATTCCTCATCATTCCATGTCATTGGCAAGCAGATGAAAATTAAATACTTGCGCTTAGCTATCAGACTGAAGCAGCACATGTGTAGGGATGACATCCCTCCAAAAATTGCGCTGCCGTCATCATACTTGCGCTTAGCTCCCCCGGAGCTAAGCGCAAGTATTTTCTAACCAGTGCCCAAGGCTTGTTAAGAAATGTTACTTTACAATTCCATTTGAGGGGTTGGATCACCATTCCAGGGTTTCCAAGCAAAAAAAAGTGTCCCCCCCCGCCCTCCCCCTCTAGAGGGGTAGGGATCTCCCAACCAGACGGTTGGAGGTCCCGGCCAAGGAAATACACCTCCTGGTGTCTCTCTCCTGAGGTGGTGTCTGGCTCCGTGGCTGATGGGTGATGTACTGGGTGTACCGTTCTGTAATCGAATGTAATGCCATCTCAATCTCATGCAAATACTGTCATGTGATGTCATGTCATGTGGTGTAGAGTAATGTAATGCAATGTTTTGTATTGTTGTGTAATGTTGATATTTCTTGTTTACACTGTTTGCAAATATGTTTGTATAACATAATAGTGGATACGTGCATCCTGTCCCATTGGTGGGTCTGGGACGCCTGAGGCACTCTGCTTCCAGAGGCCTTAGCTGCAGCCTACGGCGGGCACAGCCCTTCAGTGGCGCAGTTGTGCCTTCCACAAGCTGAGCCACTCGGCCACGCGATTTTGAGGAATGGCTATACAAATATATATATATATATATATAAATTTCCTATGTGCCAATATGATATGCTTTGTGCTTGGATCTAGAATTATATACAGTATTCAATATTCAATATATTTAGTATTCAGTTATTCAGTATTCAATATTCTTCTAGGTTTCGGTTTTGGAGGCTGGCTTTGCTCCGGCCAGATCCTGGCCTAAGCTCCGAAGAGGAAAACAATACAAAACCGCCAGTTTTTGGTTTTTGCCGCACTTTTTTCATTTCCAGAGAACGAATAAAATAATAACAAGAGCACGGACTTTCAACATAATTGAGACATATATTGAGACCATACAGCACGATTTGGCGCATTATAAACCGCGAATAAAAGCACGCATTGGAGCATGATTTGGCACACCACAAAAACCGAAAAAAAAAACGCATTGGAGCACGATTTGGTGCACGACAAACCGCGAAAAAAAGGAAAAAACAAAAACACACATTGGAGCACGATTTGGTGCACGACAAACAGCGAGAAAAAGCACGCATTGGAGCACGATTTGGTGCACGACAAACCGCAAAAAAAAAGCACGCATTGAAGCACAGTTTGGTGCACGACAAAACGCGAAAAAAAGCACGCATTGGAGCATGAGTTGGTGCACGACAAGCCGTGAAAAAAAGCATGCACGCATTGGAGCACGATTTGGTGCACGACAAGCCGCGAAAAGAAAGCACGCATTGGAGCACGATTTGGTGCACGACAAGCCGTGAAAAAAAGCATGCATTGGAGCACGATTTGGTGCACGACAAGCCGCGAAAAGAAAGCACGCATTGGAGCACGATTTGGTGCACGACAAACCGCGAAAAGAAAGCACGCATTGGAGCACGATTTGGTGCACGACAAAACCGAGAATAAAGTGGCATATGCAGCAATATAATTCTTGCTCCAGCACAGCAGCAAACCTGGCAAACTAGTAGATGAAGTTTGATGGGAATTTTGAATAGTGTATGATCCATGTTTGATACTTGATATGGTTGTGATTCCCAATCCCAGATGGTTTTGAGAAGTACTTCCCATCTCCTATTTCTCCTAATCTGATGTGTGCAAGCCACCACATGTCTACATTGAGCAGAATGGACGGGCTTTGTTTCCCAATCCTTGAACCATGGAAATAATCCTTAAGCAAAAAAATTGAACATGCCCCCAGGCCCAACAATCCTTGAAGAAAAAACATGATTTTATGGTGCTCCTCTTTGGGGGGGTGTTTAGTAAGATTAGTAAGGAACCCTTTTACTGACTCTTACAATATTATATTATTAATAATAATAATATAACTTGGGATGGTTCTAAGTTCTAACATTTTCGAACAATACCATATTTGGAGGGCTGAACATCAATTTACCATCTATTGAATCTATTGGGGGTGAACAGAAGGGTACCAGGCTTTTGACCAATAGCCGAATGGAATCAACTGAATTGAAATGATATCAACCCTGAACCATCCAACAACAATGACGCACAGTTTTTTGATTTGAAAACTAAAAATCACCAATTTTTTGCGGGTCACTTTAGGTCCTTAGGTCGATTGATACCTGAAGTTATGACCCAAAATAATTCCCAGGGATGAATCCGACTGTGGCAGTCTGCCAATTCGGGAAAGGGATTTCCCCTGGTCAACTCTCCACCCAAGAATTCCAACTTTGAGTTGCTGAGTGGGGTGAGTCGGGGAATTTTGCATTAGACCCTTACACATCATGGAGTCGACCCCAGAAAGCCACATATTATTAGGACGGTGCCGATCTCCACCTTGGGCTACAATCTCATTGTTGGCCTCAAGGACTGCCTGCCCCCAGCTGCTACAGGGATCCGAAGGGAAGGGGTCAATTCATAAAAACAGAGCTGCAGGACACAAACAAGACGGCGGCCTTCATCAGCCGGGTGGCCGGGCATTTGGGCTATGATGTGATCCATCCAGATGGCCTGCATGAGTTTGCAAAGGTCTACATGCATGGCAATTCGGGCAAAGGATATCAGTTCGATGAGCCTTGGCAGATGAGCTTAATCTTTTTGAACATAGTTGTGCGTTTAATTTCAAAACATCTCCATATTTAATTGCCTTCGGCAAGCCCGCCGGCCATAGAGAGGTGGCTGCAAGGGAGTTTGATGTGCATTCTAGGTGGAAGCCTGCGAGAGAGCAGAAGAGAAAAGAAGGAGAAGAAGAAGAATAAGAAAGGAAGACGAAGACAAAGACGTAAAACGGAAGCGGCTTGTGTAGCAAGGTTTGCTGCAACAAACTATTGACCGTATACCAAATTAGTACCGCCCCCAGCAAAGTAGCGCCAGGTACTATGTATGAGCCTCTGGCTTGACAGCAGACCGCTGCATGGAAGGATAGGTTGGAAGCGGAGAGATTGCCCCAAGGGTGGTTGACGTGCACGCTAGGTGGAAGCCTGAGAGAAGAAGAGACGAAGACAGAGCCGTAGATCAGAAGCAGCCTGAATAGCAAGTGCGTGCTTGAACAACCCATGGAACGCATACCCAATGAGCACTGGTCGATCAGTACTGTGTGCGTCCTGTGACTAGTAGCTAGACGACGGTAATGCTGTAGGATGCTGTAGGCAGTGTCATTAGCTACCGGCGCTACCAGAGTACTTCGGTAAGAAGGGAGGAAGGAGTAGAGGAGTAGAGGAGTGCCAGTAGGCGTCGGAGTAGGAGTAGGATTAGTAGTAGTGGTAGTTGTGGTAGTCGTAGTGCTAGTACTAGTAATAATAGTCGTAGTCGTAGTCGTAGTCGTAGTCGTAGTCGTCGTCGTAGTAGTAGTAGTAGTAGTAGTAGTACTAGTAGTACTAGTAGTACTAGTAGTACTAGTAGTACTAGTACTAGTACTAGTACTAGTACTAGTACTAGTACTAGTAGTAGTAGTACCAGTAGTACTAGTAGTACCAGTAGTACTAGTAGTAGTAGTAGTAGTAGGAGTAGTAGTAGTAGTAGTACCAGTAGTACCAGTAGTACCAGTAGTACCAGTAGTACCAGTAGTACTAGTAGTACCAGTAGTACTAGTAGTACCAGTAGTACTACTAGTACCAGTAGTATTAGTAGTAGCAGTAGTACTACTAGTACTAGTAGTATTAGTAGTATTAGTAGTACTAACTAGTAGTATTAGTAGTACTAACTAGTAGTACTAGCTAGTAGTATGAGTAGTACCAGTACCAGTACTAGAACAAACAAGCACTTACTAGCCAAGAGCAGAAACAAGAACAACAACTTCCAATCAGACACGCTGGCAGGCCGGCGGATTTCAATAAGTCCTGGGACTTCAAAGTTTCCGATCGAAACAGCAGCACTGGGGCAGTCGTCCATCCTCAAAAACTGTCGCTTCTGGCATCTGCCTGGCAATCGGCGGGCGAAGGAAACAGATGGCCTATGACGCACTTTGGAAACCCTCCAAAGCTATCCTTTGCGGTTCCATAAGTGTTTGGGGGTTTCACCTCCAATCTGGAGTTGTTTTTCTTTTGCCAGTCACAACAGATCCAGGATTTGATGAAAGACCTGCAATTCAGCGATTCAGATTGGTTGCATCGCAGCTCGGATGCTCGCTGTGTGGCCGATCGAAACGCGTCCCAAAGTGCCGTGGAGAAGGCCATCACTTGGGGCTGTGGAAAGCTGGCACAAGCAGGGCGATGAGACTTGGCGCTTGACATTGAGACACGCTATTGTATATAGACAAGCTGAATATATAATAATAATATATATATATATAATATAAATGTATTAATTTTAAATATAATATTAAAATATTTTGAATATAGCCCTGGAAAGGAGACTGCATCAAGGCTGGTCATCTCAGGTAGTGAATCGAGTCTTGTGCGTATGTGCGAACACATGTTGGTTTAGCCATTTCGGTCAGGTTCTATCCAAGTACATTCATACTGATGCAGGTGTGTTTGAAACATATTTGTGTGATCAGTAGATGATACCACTGTGTCCAAGACAAAGATTGCACACATACACAACAGAGATGCCTATTGTTTTAAACATAATTCTATAATTACGTACACACTTTGTAGAACTCCTGACGTGTGCAAGTTCCAGCAACCCTTTTACACTCTCTCTAATAGATGGCCCAAATGCTGACTAAAGGTCGCATTTTTTCAGGATGGTTCAGGTCTTGCTCCAAACTTCACACACGTCAAATGGTAATTCTTGCTACGTCTACGTTGGAGCGAGCTGATAATCCAATCAACATGTGCGGCCTTGAAGATGTATTCATTTTTTGCATGTGACACCTCAAAAGGCAAGTTGATGAGCCTTGGCCACTAAGGATATAGATGCTGCCTGTCACTCTGCATTTCAGAAAGGTGATTGGGTCTTCAGTCGATATTACAAGAGCGTGCACAAAGATGCAAACGCTCTGGAGCAGTGCAATTTCGGTGGTGCAGCGGTTTTTTCAAGCCCAAAGATGTACCAATCGTTTGCTGATCCAGCCTGTATCGCAGCATGACACGTTTGCTGTGCTGTGGAATCTGTGATGGGTTCAGTGTCTGAAAAGAATGGTGGGATGCTGGAGAGTTGGGCAGTCACAAGTGAGACCATCGTCAACAGATGTCAACAGTTGCAAGTTGCCCAGCCTGTCTCTACAGGGCATCCTTGTTGCAAAACTTCGTCTAGCAAGGTCACCCAAGCCAGAGTGAATTCCGGCGACCAAGGATTCAGTTTTGGAGATCTGTGGCTATGCTGATCTTGGTGATCCAAAATCAGCCTCCAAGCTTCTGTTGCTTGTTTTGCATAAGTCAGAAGTTGAACCGTTGAACCTAAAAATGTTGTGCCTTTGACTCAAAGCATCATCATGGGACATCCGTGGGACCAAGAAGTTTACCGTAATACCCCCATCATCCCCCATCCACTTTTGTTTCAGGCATGCCATTTGGAAAGCCGCGGATCTTCTGCAAGCTTCCGGCAAAGTGGCAAGGGTCATCTTTAGGCATGCCACACCGGCAGGAGAGGATTCGGGTGTTTGTCCGGATGTGCACGGAGAGTTCCGCATGCAAAATTGAAGGCTTCACTAGCATTCACTTCACTTGTTTTCACCTTGTATATCCCTGCAATACTGTAGACAGGATACTGATCCTGAGTCCGAAATTATTGCTTGCGGAGGCCAGCTTTTGCAAATTCACTGGCATCAGCTTCATTTTGACAGCATAATCGATTGTTCATCATTTCAATACCCAAGTCCAAAGTGATTGCAACTGTTATCATTCTGCGCATCCTCCCCATTTGACTTAAACTTGAGCACCCCAAAAGTTGGATGACCACGAACTAGAGTTTCAGCTCCTGCAAAAACAACAAATGTATGAAAACACTAGCATATGGAACCCCCCCACCAAAAAATAAAACAACTGTTACCAGATATTAAAAGATGCTTTGAACAAAATATACATTCCGGTTGACCTGTTTGGGTCCCATGTTCCTTCCATTTGAAGAGGCAAAAACCCAGTCAACCGGATCTCCAGGATCTCCTCCCCGAGCCTTGTTGGGTGGCTTCGGAGCCTCGTCAGATCCAGATCTCCCGGGGATCTTGGGGATCTTGGGGGAAATATAATATTACTATGATATTACTGTGACGGGATCGGGCATAACTGTTAAACTTTTTTGGTCAAATATATAATGATCTAACATGATCTAAGAATGTCAATACTTTTCTGTCTATAGTACCATATAGATTCCATATAGATTCCATATAGTACCTATAGTTGCCTTTGGGCATGGCTAAGTTTGTTTGGTGACCAAAGTCATCAGCTAAAAACAGACCGAGGCCTGGAGCTGATGACACGCAGCGCCGACGAGGTGGCCAAAAGCACAGACAACGACACGGAAGCAGGTCACGAAGCTGGGATAGGCTGAGAAAAACTCTGTAAAAAACTGCTGTGCTGAAGTTCATGGTCTATATGTGCTGAAGTGAAAATGGTCTTGGGATAGACTTTGTATCAAGAAAAATCTTGCTGCAGTTGGACTAGCAGAACCAATGTCTACCCACAGGGTTGCTCACCTTTATGTCAAGTTTCTCAAACTTGAACGGCAGCGGCGCTTCAATAATTTGTGCCATCGGTTTGGCACGTCCTGTTGGGCAAATGAATCACGTAGCATTTTCTTCATTTCTTTTTCATCCAATATTTCTTTGACAGATTGGGCGTGGCTGTGGGTGGCAGTGGCTGGCAGAAACCTGTGCGAATCAAGGTGAATCAAGCACCGTGAGCGATAGCAGTTGCCTAAATGAGGTGGCAGATCCGGCGGAACCATGGCATATGCAGAGATCGTCGATAGTAAATGCTGTCGTTGGTTGGTATCAAAATAGCAACTTGAACTCTTGAACTATAGACTCATAGACATCTATAGACCCACAAAGAACAGCACGCAATTGAGAGGGGGAGGCAAGGCTTCCCACTGCAATGTTCACGTTATACAGTCTGTAGGGGCATGTGCAAGAGTTCAGATCGTATTATTTGACTTTTCCAAACACAAGAAGGTTGTACTTCTGCAGCTGGGCCTTCCATTGCCTTCAATTGAGGCAGCAAGGCTTTCCACGGAAAGTACTATATGCCATAGTGCATAGGCACATGAATGACAGGTGCTCAGTGAAATTCTGATTGGAAGGGTCACTCATAAGATGACGGCAAGGAAAGCTTTCATGGAATTGACATCAGCAAGATTGCCAAGAACTTCCCCAGCGGCTCCTCCGCGCTTTGCGACTTGGCCTTGCGGCAATCCCCATTGGGATGCCCTGACTGTGGAGTCCGTGTAAACCTCGGAGATGCCCAGATTAACAAACCCCCGGTGATTAACATGGGTGGTGCCCAAAATGGTCATATTTAAATATGTTCCTTTGCAAATGGTACCGCTCAATTAGTAAACTACTTGTAGGGGCGCATTAATTCTGGATTGATATTATGTCCTTTTTAGAGGTATGCGAAACAACGTGCAACAACACCTTTTGGTTCATTCACTTTGCCCAACTGCTGAAAAAGCAGTGCTTATGGAGACATGTCATAATCTGGCTGGTTCAAAAACCATATGAAGTGGATACCGTAAATGTAACATACATTAACATACTGATTATGGCTCCACAAAATTGGATGGTATAATAGTCCTAGAATGACCAATTTTGCAGCTCCATTGGTACCCCATTGAGTCTTGGCTGTTTTAATGCAAGGTCAACTGAGATCAGACCTGGTGGCCGAAGCCGAAACGCCCCCGCTGCCCTGGGAGCTCACCCGCCTGGGTGCCCGTGCAGCGTGGCGTGCCAAGCAGATGGCCGAGAACTCCGATGCCTTGCAAGGCCCGGTGATTTTCGGTGCAAAAAGAATTGTTTCTTCATGACTCAGTTGAAGTATGTTGAAGTTTTCAAAGTTTGAGGATGTTTTAGTTATTCTTACTTCAGTTTGTATGAAGGTGATGAACAAGAATGGTGCGCGAATTGTGATGTTGAAGATTTACTTCTCAATGACTTCTCAATAAATATATATATATGGAGGATGATGTAGACTGGTTTAGGTTGACTGCAGTATTGGAAAATGCTTTGGGACTGGAGCTCTCGTGTAAGTTCCAGCAGACAGTAGTGGCTCATGTGTTAGGTTGCTAGCTGGAATGTGGGAGACATTGGGAGACCATCTCATTCTCCCTGGACAGTGATTGAACACAATTGCCCACTTACCCTCTGGTAATTTAACATAGCTATTGAAAATCACCATTTTTAATGGGAAAATCCACTATTAATGGTCATTTTCAATAGCTATGTTAAATTACCAGAGGGTAAGCCATGTTGTTTTACGTCGCTTGGTTCAGGCTTGCGCTCCATGGGAGAAGTCGCTCAGGCTGTACCGATGAGAAACTGAACGAATCATTCGTGATCCAGCGAGTGTACATGTTTCTGATATTTTCTGACGTTCAATACGTAGTTACATGTTTATGATTATTATCAATGCTAGTTTGATTTATGCTATTTTATTTGATAGATATAGTTAGAGGAATGTTAGAGATATATTATATAATGATTTATAATGATATACCAATGTTGGTTATTCATCCACATCCTTGGTATATCAAGATGTTCCCCAACTGGCAGGACTATCCTTCTGGTTGGGCGCGGGCCTTGTCGGCTGGAGATGCCAATGCAGCCCACGCTCGCGAGCTCATGGCCTTTGCTGAGGCGGGCTGCTGTTTTCGCTACCGAAAGACTGGGTTGTTTGGGATTGAGAATGGTTGAGACATGTTGAGACGATTTTTCTGGAATTTCCCTGCTATTCCCAAGTGTCAGATTCCGAGTTATTCACTGTTGAAATATCAAAGATGTTTCAAAATGATAGTATTTTGTGTTGTAATTGCATCTCTTAGTCACGTTCGAGATTTAAAAAACACTTGGACTCACACCAGCTCCCTTGGTAAGACGATGCCCCAAAGTTGGAATCTACAGAATCCCAACAAGCAGCTGGTATCAGCTGGTATCAGCTGGTATGCGGACTTGATGTTTCTTGTTGCTTTGGGCTGTCAAGATTCCACTTGGCCTGCGAATGGCAGGACATCAAAGTGTCAGACTCCTTGCAAGTCAATGGCTGGAAAGTACCACTCAAGCAACGAGGACAGGCAGTCTTGTTGGGTAAGCATTGCTGTGAGCCCTGTTCTTATACTCACCATGGAGCTTGGCGCTTGCAGCAACCAACCATTTTCAATCGACTCACCCAGCCATCCCATGCCCAGGAATCTTGCCATTGCTGCGAGCTTCTTTGCCACTTTTTCGGGCCGTAGAACTGCTGGCAAGTTCGGGACTTTCACAGAGCTTGGCCTTGGAACTGTTGCTTGACTCGGTCAGTCTGTGTTCAGCGGTGTCAGCTTTGTTGGCCGAAAGAGAAGCTCAAGTCCTTTGCAAGTTGGGAAAGTGATTCTGATGTGATTCTGATGTGATTCTGATGTGATTCTCGATGGTGCCCCTTTTGGGTATCCTCTACGGCCTGTATGTTTCTGCCAGATCTGGAGTCCAGCTGAATTCCTCAGCGCCAGCCTAGCAGGTTGAGGGATGCGCAAGCTGGAGGGAAGCCGCCGTCCAAGGTGGATACAGGAGGGACTGGCACAGGGGAAGAGGTGATGAAGAGGAACGAATGCGAACACCATGTATATAACATTATATAACATTATATAACATTATATAACTTGTATCACTATATATAACTCATGGGTTGACCTCACCCAAAACACCTGGATTCATGGTGATTTCTCTTAATATTTCTCCTGATTCGTCCTGATTCAACAGCCGCTGGATGCCCAAAGGAGATCCACGGCTGGGGCATGAGGCTGTGGCGTTCGATCTTGGTGGAAAGTTGCTTGGCTCATGGGCACAGCGGCACAGAAAACAGGGTACGAACCGCGAAAAGAACTCACAGACGACTGGTTGATGCGTTCGAAATCTTTCAAATATGCTTCGCTTTCCATCCTTGGGATGGAATGTGAGCTCCACTATATAGTTACAAAATGTTAAAAGATTGGGCATCAGCAACTTCAAAAGTTGTGTTGTCTGTTTCTTCTGAAGCATGGTTGGTACATCAGCACTGCTTCCACTGAACATCAAGCGGAAGCCTGTGGCATCGGCGTCAGGATCCCAAACCCCTTGATTCAAAAGCAACTCCTCTTGCTTGGTGGGGCCAGTGCTAGGCGCATGTGATATGTTTGATGTATGTGTGATATGACATCACAGCATATCTCCACACCAAACAAATATGATGTGTATAGTATGATGCTTATGGGTTTGCAAGTATATTCAGTAATATCCACACACAACATATATTTGAATGCAAAACCATACCCAAATTATGAATTAAAGGTTGAAGTGTGGTTTACAACCTTTGGGTCCCAGCATCCACCATTTACCCGGCTGACAAAGGGAACAATTTTGAGCCAAGGGTGGTAGGAGCTGGACTGCTCATGAATCTTTGCAACTTGAAGCACTTGAAGTTCATCCAAAAGGTGCAGGGCCGGAAAAAAGGGGCCACTGCCCGGCTGACGATGTGATCACTTGTGCGGATTGAAAACGGGGCGTGAAGATGAAAAGGCCTGGGCACTTAATTGAAAATCTAGGGGGTTCAGAACCAAAGCACGTTGCCCAGTTTTGGACTCATACTTTGCTTCTTTTTCTGGAGAGCACCACCACATCAAGTGACCATTCGTCCCCGCGAGATCGCAGGTGCTGAAAAACAGGCCACCAGCTGTACTCTGGCTGCGCTTCGATAGCCCAAGTCATCCTGTTTTCTGGTGGCAAGTTGGGGCGTGAATGTCGTGGAGCCATCAACTGCAAACGTGTCACATTTCATTCACATTCATGATACTGTTTCATCTGTTTTCATGATACCATGTGATGAAAATATTGGCCGTTTGCTGGGTGGATTGCATGATCACAGTGGAGGGATTACCGCAGCTTCTCGGAAGTTCGGATTGCCCCAACCATCCGCTGGAATGGTCCCCAATTTTGCACCATTTTTGGGGATTCCAGGGCGGATAAGTTTCCAAACTGGGATGCTTCCCCGACATTTCCCGCTCACGTTGTGAAGTTTGAGGGTCACTTTGCTGAGGCTTTGGCTCCCCTAATGGAGCGCCTTGGCCCAAAAAATCGCAATGGGCTGGTCGGTTCGGTGTCCAACGTAGCGGGTGAAGTGCCTGTCAGTTGAGAAACAGAAATGGGAAACCAAACACAGGATGACAGGATTGATACAGGATTGATACAGGATTGTATCCATGTTACAGTAATAAATCCACCTGCATCGAAAATTGCGATGAATTGCGATTTCTGGACACTCCAGGGTTGAGGGAGGAGATTCCTAAGAGTTGGCTCGGCTAAAGTCAGACATTGTCAAACATGTAGTATTGAAGGATTTGAAGGATATTGAAGGAATGCAACGTGTGTTCGTAGTCATGTAGTTCTTATCCATCTTAATTATCCCGCAAGACTAGGACAAACACCGTTCAAGTTTGGCAAGACCAAACCCAGAATAATGTTTCATCCAAACAGAATGGTCTGGGCACAACACGACAAACTCGTTTCATCTTTTAGTGTTCAAGTTGGGTGGTGTGAAAACAGCTCTCACACTGAAGAGATGCGCGCCTTCCATTTACGATGGTGCCTGGTTTGATCTTAACTTTGCAAACCCCTCCCTGCCAGGGCCCTGCATGAAAGGACTTACTTGTATCATCTTGCATCTGTGTAAGCAACTGGGTGGAGAAGTCTCCCCATTTTGTATCATTTTGTCACCAAATCTCATCCAAAGAGGTTCCAAGAGCATCATGAGCATCAAAAACCATCAAAAATAGAGGTACCCTCTGGTAAACTAACAGTTTGCTATTGAAAATGGCCATTTATAGTGGATTTTCCCATTAAGAGCGAGGTCTGCTCTGAAAGAGTTGATCAGCAAGGGAGGCTCCGAAGCTGCCAAGAAGATGCTCAAACGCTTTTCTGCAAAGCGTACTGTATCTTGGCATATCGATATAGCATGATATAGCATATTTTAGGTTGACCGGGCTGTCGCTCAAACCTGGCCTTGAAAAAGGCCTTTTTCCCGAGAGCGCCTGCGAAGGGTTCTTCGTAAAAAAGCAGCCGTTATACTACATCTTCACACCTTCACATCTGCTGATCTACATCTTCACACCTTCACACCTGCAGATCTAGATCTTCACACCCTCACACCTGCAGATCTAGATCTTCACACCTTCACATCTGCAGATCTAGATCTTCACCCCTCACATCTGCAGATCTAGATCTTCACACCCTCACATCTGCAGATCTAGATCTTCACACCCTCACACCTGCAGATCTAGATCTTCACACCCTCACACCTGCAGATCTAGATCTTCACACCCTCACATCTGCAGATCTACATCATCACACCCTCACATCTGCAGATCTAGATCTTCACACCCTCACATCTGCAGATCTAGATCTTCACACCCTCACATCTGCAGATCTAGATCTTCACACCTCACACCTGCAGATCTAGATCTTCACACCCTCACACCTGCAGATCTAGATCTTCACACCCTCACATCTGCAGATCTAGATCTTCACACCCTCACATCTGCAGATCTAGATCTTCACACCCTCCCACCTGCAGATCTAGATCTTCACATCCTCACACATCTTCACACCCTCACATCTGCAGATCTACATCTTCACACCTTCACATCTGCAGATCTCCTCTCGCTCTTCTTCTATTCTCTCTTAAGGCGGGGGCGGTGCCGCCGGAGCGCCACGAAACGCAACCCTTTCGCACGAAATGGACGTTGGACGTCCAAAACCTAGGTAAAATTGCGATTTTGAAGCGTCCCGGCAACCCTTTCGCACGAAATGGACGTTGGACGTCAAAAACTGAGGAAAAATTGCGACTTTTATTGGTCGCGCGCAACCTTTTCGCACGAAATGGACGTTGGACGTCAAAAACTGAGGAAAAATTGCGACTTTGAGGTGTCCCGCGCAACCCTTACGCACGAAATGGACGTTGGACGTCAAAAACTGTGGAAAAATTGCGACTTTGAGTTGTCAATCGCAACCCTTACTTAGATGAACCGCGGGGGTTGCAAAGTTTATAGAGTTTACAAGGTTTACATAATGATTTCACAAAGTTTAGAGAGCTTGCTAACCACTTAGCTAAAGGGTTAAGATAGCCATGAGCTAACCATTTAGCTAACCATTTAGCTAAGTGGTTAGCAAATTGGCTAAATATTTTTCATCCAGATTTAACATACATTTTCCAATACATGTTCTTGCATTTTTGAGAAAGTTTCTTCACATTGATCAAAAATTTTCTAGCAAAACAAGAGAGCCAAAGGTGTGTGTAGCCACGTTGGCTGAATATGTTTGTGCAAACCTATCACATGCAAACACCAATGAGCAACAGAGCGAAACAGCTTGCACAAGTTAGATGCAACACTTTCACCTGCACTCCACTGGTAGTGATACCATGACTTGGTCCTCCTTAAGAGGCCTGTGAGACAATGCACATTTGATTTCAGATGTGCTCACCAGTTGTGGGTTGTCTTGCATTTTCCAAATGCTGTATGACACATGTTGTTCCAACAATACCCACAAAGAAACCAAAGCTACACATTCACCATTCACTTCAGCAAAAAACCACACTTCACCAAGTTGCTTCAAACATTTCATGATCACTACATCCTTCCTGTTTGCCAATCCAGAAGGGGACAAATGTGCACAAACGCACATGTGACAGGATTGGACTTCATCTGTCCAAACTTTGGCGAAAAGGTCTTGGACCTTCTTGGTGGCTTTGCATTTCTTTTTAAGTCTAGCATGCTGCCCAAAATAATCATCATCCAACAAAAGTGCAAGATCATGGGCAACAACTTGCACCATGACATGTTTCTCATATTTTTTGTGTGTTCTGAATATCTTGTGAATACCTTTTCACAATTCGATGTTTTCTTTCATGTACCCAACAAGATATTAAAATGCCAAATCTTTGCAAGTGGGATGCCAAATGGACAAGCCAATGGAACTTGCTGTGCATCCACATGTCCCACCCACATGCTTCATACAAGTCTTGGATTTGGCCAACCTTCCTCCTCACAAGATCAGGGGAAATGCACCCATGAGGAATGGCTTGGAGGATAGCCAACAAATCTGCCACTGCCAGAAGTGCTTCACACTCTTTGACACAATGATTTGCTTTCAAGACAACATTCTGCACAAAGATTGCCAAAATTGGCAAAAATGCCAATACTTCACTAGCTTGGCATTTGAATGTCTTGGCTTCCCTGTTTGATTTCTGCCTTTTGGCGCTGAACAAATTTTCCAAACTCATGGGCTTGGATTTTGGCAGGACCCACAGAGCCATGTAACCTGCAATCATCTTGTACAAGTTCATGCCAGTGCTGCTGCTGACAGTCTCCAGGAACAGGTAGACAGTGGTTTGCACAATGCCACCCACACACATCAGGTGCATCCAATCATGCATGAAATGCTGAGAAGGTCGTAGGATAGGGTTTGGGGGTGTGTGAAGGGAATCATCAAATAGCATTCCATGTGGCTGGTAATTCATGCCAGCTGCCTGCTGCCACAAAGTGAAATCTGCTTTGGTCCTTAGATGGTGGCATACAGTAGCAGCAGAAAATGGAGCAAACCAAGTTCATTTGTGTTATATTGAAAACAAAATATAAAAAATAAACATATGTTAAAGCAATAAGTGAGGCACATTGTCTCGAAGTTTGTTTTGAGTTTGCCAACAGACTTCCATATGTCACTGTCAGTTGTGAACTCCAACTTGTCTTCCTTCATGTTTTCAGTGACCAAAACATCTCCACCTTCTTCATTGACAAGACCTGACCTTTTGCTGATGCAATTCTTGCAAAGAAAGCAACAGCGGCTCCCTGCATCACCCTTGATAGCCCACATATATTTGTGTGCAGCACCATCTTGGACAAAGGCCCCAAGGGACACCCATACCCTGTACATTTGATTGTCAGGCCCTTTCAACAGTATGCCAGCTCTTTGCAAGTCACAAGTGGTAGATTGGAATGCATTTTTGACCATCTCCTTCATCAATTGGCCAATTCCCCCATGAACTTGTGCTAGAAACGATGACCTGCAAGATGCCAAAGTAAGCCATGCACATTCTTGGCTTAATCTTTCAGATCCAAACTGCATCAAACTTCCATATACCATCCAAATCTTTCTTTTGTTGTCATGAGACAAAGCATTGCCTGGCACTACTTCATCTGAGTAGAGAACCAAGGAATATGGTTCCCTTGGGTTGGGAGGGTGCTTCTCCATGGTTTCCATCATCAATTTGTAGAAACCACCTCCCTGTGCAAAGGCATGAAAAAGCAAAGCATGCAAATTGACAATGGAAGCTTTTAGGTCCTGATCACCTTTCAGGACAATGTCAACAAAGAGTTGCCCATACTCATCGTATTTGGATAATTCTTTCATTGTTGCCTCCTTGATGTGTTTTCTCTGATGTAGGTCCACAGCTCCATGTCTCTGCACATCCTCCAGTACACTGGACAATGCAGAAGCAGAAAGGTGAGGCAACTGCCTCCTCAAGAAGTGAAGCCGTTGTAGCTTAGCAGTTCTCTCATCCATGGCAGCAAGGAGAATGCAAATGCAAAAATTTGCTTGCTCAGGAGATCAAACACATTGATGGTGAAAATTATGTTCCTGGCACTGTTCCTATTGCCAAGGCCATGATGCAATCATTTTAAACCATAATGCAGTTATTAAGGCATAGATATGTATGTGTATGACAAACTGCACAGATTGTCTCATGTTAGGTTGCTGTGGTGGTGCTGATGCTGATAGCACCTAGCATGCAAACTGCGAAGTGATCACCACAATCACTGCAAATGCAGTCCACTTACCATTGTGCATCATGCTCTTGGGCTTCTGGCCAGTTGGGCCAGATGTGACATGCAGCCAAGTGGCGACATGGACAAGCATGGGTACCATTGTGGCAAACCCATCAATATCACATGCAACAAATGCCAGCCACATGGCTACATGAACCCATGGTTGATAATTAAATGAGTTGTAGTGCAAGCCCTGAGGCTACATGATACCATGCAGTTGTGTGCAGCACAAAAGCTACATGATGCATGCCAAGATTGCAAAGCAAGTTTGCTGGACCACTGGTATGCACATGAAAGCCTATCAGGCTACATGACCAAATGACCACACACACACAGTAACATGGTGCATGGGAAAAGCTGCAATCATTGTCACATGCACAAACCAAAGACTACCCCTGAACCAAACCAACAAGTATTTGTATCAGATTCCAATCATGGAAGTTCAGATCAATGGGTGCAGGCATTTTCCACTGCCAAAGCTTTCTAAGCTGCACAGCCATCTAAGAGATAAGCTTTCCACAGCTAAGCAGACCCCTGCAAAGCAAATAGTACATATTAGTACACTTTGCCTGAAACCCAAATAGCTCAGCTCAATTGCTTATCCCAAAGCTCCACAGCAGTGGCCCTGGCTTTCTTCGCAAACTCCTTTGCCTCAGTGTCTGAGTAGCCACAGTTGATGGCAAGTTCTTTGCACTTGTGGTAGTGCTTGTTATAGTAGTTCCTGGGAGTGCTCTGAAGCTGGGCTTCAGAAGGGGGTGGCACCTTGTAGTCCAACTTCTTCATCTTTTTGGCACTGGATGAGCTGGAAGTGGAAGATCTCTTGGTGGTAGCAGCTTTGGCCTTGGCCTTGGCATGAGGCTTGGTCTTAGCCTTTGCCTTGGCCTTGGCCTTGCCCTTCCCCTTGCCCTTTGTTTTTGCAACCTTTTGGAAAGCATTCCTTGCTTTCAAGGCATCAAATGCTGCTTGCTCATAGTCTGGTTCAGAATCATGCTCTGCAAGTTCCTCATGGGACTCGCCCTTCTGGGTCTGGGTAGAAGGAACAGGTGTTGCAGCAGCTTGCTCAGTTTCAGGTGCAGGACATGGCAAAGCCAACTTGGATTCTGTGTTGGCAGGATCAGGCCCTGGCACATCGCCCAAAGCAAGCAAGGTCTTTGGCTTGAAATTATGCAAGGTCACTTGGCCACCTTTCCCTTGCTGATTCTGCGAATGCCCATGCACATCTCCAGGGCTGTTCATGCCCATGAGTTTGTTGCACATCATGTTGAACATGTGCAGCATTGGATTGCTCATCATATCATTCATGCCCATGCCATGTGACAAACTGCTTCCTGCTGAAGCTTGGTGTTGATCAGCACACTTGCCACCAGTGCCCCTCATGTGCTTGGAAGTATTCCTCAGGATAACCTTTCTGGCCACCAGGTTGAACTTGTCAATGACTTTGGGACATGGTTGCTCTGACCCAAAGGCAGCCTGGAAAACATTTTGGGGAAGATCACTGGCATTCTCTGGGTACATGGTGAGATTGCTAAATTGCACAGCACAGCTGGTACTTGCAAAAGTTGCTTTGAACTCTTGCAGCATGGAGTACATCATTTTCTCATCAGGTACCACAGTGAGTGTGCATGCCAGCAATGCCAGGCAAGACTTCATTGTTTTCTCAGACATGCTCACTATTCCAAGTAGTTTCAGCCTGAGGGCAACAATGGTTTGCTTTCTAGCCCATGAAGTTTCCTGATGCTCCAACTCTTTCCAGTCAGCAGCTGTCATGTAGTTGAAGGGGTGCAGGAGGGTCTGTGGCTTGGTGCACACAGACATCCCCTGAGGCCCTTGGGGGGTGCCCAGCTCAGACCCAACAGAAGTCAGCCTTTTCTCCAAACAAGCCCAAATGGCATTGGTGAAATCATCACCAAGCACCATTGCAGCATTCTTGATCTTCAAGGCATCACAGGGAGCAAGCACCACCAGCCCCTTGATCTTGGAGCAGGATGTCTGGATCAAAGCTTGGCAAAATGGATCATCAGATTTCTTGCCAGCTATGAGCTGTGCAATATCTGCAAGCTCTTTGCAAATATCATCAACTGACCACATGGCAGCACTACAAAGTATAGCAACTACACACCACAAGGCCCTGAAATGGCTTAATGACAGCATGTGAATGGTTTGTATTGGCTTGTGCTGCAACATAGCACACTTTGCAAAAAAAAACAGTAGCAATGACAAGCACCCAAAATCATAATGCAAGTTTTCCAGTGGTGGCACAACACAATCTTGACTGCATGCTTGGTGCTTGGCCTTCACATTGATGAAAGTTCAAATCTACCAAGATGAGCAACAATGAGCCTTGCAATAGCACAAGTTCTTTTTTGGCACATTGCAGTGGCACAATCTTAGCAGTCTTAAAGCTCAAGCAACACATCTAAGGTGACCAGGCTTAAAAGCAGCCTGCAAGCACCACTGTGCTACCAGTAGTGTGCCACTATATAGTATTCAAAACCAGAGACCATTCCAGGCCTTTCTGTAGCCTACTTTTTCTGATCATTTGATTCAGAGCCTCTCTTGCTTTTGAAACTCCTGGACCTAGACCTAGCCCTGTCAGAAGAAGAAGATGGCTGCTCAGCATCTTTGTTGGCAGACTCCTTGTCCACAGCATTGAAGAACATGTAGGCAGCGCCCATCCATGCACCAGGTCTCTGAGAGCATGGGAAGTAGCCAAACATATCAAGCTCTTCATCAGGCTTAGGCTCTTCATCAGGCTTAGGCTCAGCAGATGACATGACTGCAACCACACAAGAGCAAGCTACAGGGTCTAGGATTGATCAAAGAAGCTGCACACACCATATTGGATCCACATGGTAATGAATGGTCAGCACAAGCAACACATTCATTGTGGCTGCCAATGCAAGCTTGTCCATGTATCAACCATTGCATGTACTGACATAGAGTCTGTAGCCTTATGGCTGGTCACTCATGAATGCACAACCAAAGTTTGTAGCCACAAGGCTTTCACAAATGCAGTTTGAACCCACATTGCAAGTGAGAACTAGTTCATCCAAGATGCAAGTGTCTACATGGCATGCAAATGCTATTTTGAATTTCCATGCAAATGAATGTATGGAAGTCTCTGTGTGCCACAAGGCATCCTTTGTGCAGCCACTTGGTGAATAAGAACAACATATTGCTATACATGGCATGGAAGCTGAAGCTGCATTTGTTTTGCAACTCATATGATCATCACTTGCCTTTGCCCTTGCCTGTGTGCAGGGTCCCAGGAAACTGGCCAGCATCTCTCTCTGTGGGCCTTTGGTAATTCATACCAAAATTACGGTACAGCAAGTCTACCTGAAAAATGCGATCATTCATCAGACCCAAGCCCTTGCAATTCATGATGGACTCCTCCACATCTGTCCTTGGTGTCAGATGCCATGTTTGAAATCACCAGTGTGTAGGTCTGAATGGTAGAAATCAATTGGGTGAAGTCATGTCAATACCAAACATAATGCATACAGGAATCCACTCCACCCAGCCATTATCATGAACCTCCAACCACCAGAGCTTTCCATGCCACTGATTGTCATAGGTGATATGGTAATGTTCTTGCACAACACCAACACCTTCTGAAGAGGAGGTGGCTGCATCATCAAACATTCCACCCTTCCTTTTTCCCTTGCCACCCATTGCAGCAAGAGAGTATTGAGTCAGAGGGTGCAGATACAACTAGCCAGTGAAGCCAAAGCTTGTAGGCATTCTCATGGATAGTTGCCACATCAGCACATGGTAGCCACAAGGAAAACTGACAACATGCTTCAACATTGCATCCACAGTTGTGTGATCAGATAACAAACAATACTGTTTGATTAGGTTAAAATGCAAGTCTGACTCAACCATGAAACCTTGTAATGAAACTTGCCATTGCATGCTTGGCACAATCACACCATTGATGCACAAAACTCATATTTGAATGCATCCATGGAACATGATGATATGCAATGCACATGGTCGCACACTTGGAAGTAGCTGCATTTATTTTTTTCTGCAACATCCTGTACTGTCATGATCGGTGCTATTATCCATGGCAAAATGTTTTGCCAATCCATACCTTTCACTTTTGACAAAAAAGCTGCTGAACCACACCACAAGTTTTAACACAAAAATTGAAATTAATTCATACACCATAAGCACATAAATTTAGAAATCTAAATTGTGGTCCATTTGTGTTCACCAGTAAATTTAGAAATCCAAATTGTGATTGTCAATGTGGGCTTACAAATTTAGATTTATAAATTGTGAATAGCACATTTGGAGATAAGAATTTAGAATTCTAAATTCCAAATGTATATTTGGATCCACAATTTAGATTTCTAAATTCAAACCAAAATCTTTAGATCCAGTTGTTCAACCAAAATAGCCAAAAACAATTCCATATGTACATTTGCTTGTGAAGTACAAATCAAAAAACAAACAAAGTTTGGTGGATGTAAAATACATTCATACATGTTGTTGGTTTGGGAACAAGACATTAAATACATCAAATTAAATTCAAATATATAAGTGCAGTCTTGTTCATGAATCATGCTGTTGCTAGTGAAACATCACAATATTGCTCTTGGAATTGTTTTTTCAGCAAGAGACTCTTAGTCTGTGTGGTTCCCAGCAGCTGGCGGTTTTAAGTGAACTCACAAACAGGCTTTGCCTAATTTGGACCAAACAGTGCAGATGATGTGCACCCAATATTGTTTTGTGACAACTTACATTCAAAGCGCTCTTATACAGGATTGTGTTTACAACAAAGCTTTACCATCACATCATTTTCTTGAGTGTGGCTAGCTCTCAGAGCTTAGTGTACAGACATGCAACTGGTTCAACTGCCATGCACTCCTAGTAGTCATACTTCTTGTCCACACCAAACCACTCAAGGGTCTCCTTGTGCATGCGCAACATACTGTCGAACTGAGGATTCTCTTTGAACCTGAGCTGTGTTAGAATTGATATGCATGACATCATGGAACAGTCACAACACTGAACTAGCTAGCAGCATGGTGCTACTATGATTGTTCACATCAAGGTGGTACATGCATCACAGTACAAACATTCATTTGATTGCTAGTCATACTCAACATCATGACAAGAAACTTTGCAAGCAGGTATGCAATCCTTTGAGGAAGGTTCATCTCAAGAGCACCCACCAATGCCACAGCCCTTGACTTCCAGCTGTAACTCAGAACATGCTGCTCTCCTTCTTCACCCTTGCCTGCTCCCTTGGAACCCTTTGAACCTTTAGAACCTTCAGAGCCAGTTGGTACAGGTGGTGGAGGTGGTGGCTGGCAGATACCCCTTTCCCTCCATGCAGGTGGTTCAAGAGGTGGGGCTTGCCTCTTCACACCACCAGCCTTAGGAGGTGGCGGTGGATACTCAGGAGGCACATCATGCAACTCATTTTGTCCACCTGCATGCCACCAATCTTGCCACATCTCTAGCTTGCGCTTCATGTCAAGATACTTCTCATGTGCAAACTCAAAGCCAAGGGAAACTTTCAGGCTGCATGGTGTTTCATTGTTCCATGGGCACCATACTTGAGAGAGATCTTCAGAGATTGCAGCATGAACATAGGCTGGTGTCCATTCATCAGAATCACGTCCAGTATCAATAACTGGCATGAAACTGACAAACCACAGTTTGTTCAAAGCATCCCACCAAATAAAGAAGATGCTTGACACACTCAACTCATCCCTTTTGTCCTGAGCCCTGAAGATAGGCATGTGGTCCTTCATGCCAACCTTGAAATACTTGCCAACAATTACTTTCCTGAGACTGCAAGTGGTAAATGGTAAATGGGAATGTTAGATAACATTCATGGGGCCCACAGGCTGTGAAGATATGCCAAAGTTATGCATTACTAAATGTTACAAGTATTGCAATGGTAATGGATATTTCAACAAAACTGTCAACAAATATATCAACAATAAATACCATCAAAGGGTCTCGTCATCAGTGCAATCAGAAGTACCATGGATGACCAAGCTGTCAGTGTTGGTGATACTCAGCTTGGCTGGGGTTTCAATGTACCTGTTCAGCAAATGTTGCTTCACATCATCACACCCAGCAATACCAGGAGATTCACCAGGAGTGGCTGCAGCATTAGCTGTGCCACTAGGCCCTGGTAGCGCAGTAGCAGCTGACATGGCTTGCTGAAGGCTGTGCTCTGTGAGTGGCCCTAAACATTTTTTTTCATGACACAATGAAATCTGTAAATGATTCAGCGAAGTGATGTTTAATGATTTCCATTAGGTAGTGACCATAAACATTTTGTGCAAGAGTGTGATCTACAAGCATAATGCTGAACCACAACAAATTTGCAGAATTGCAAGAATGTGTGTGCATCTGTGTTCAAATCATCTTTGGACAAAAGACTGGCAAGTCACACCTTGCTTGTCATAGACCTTCAAAGGCGGCATCATCAGCCATGGTGGTTGTTTGTAGCCAAGGCAATGCACCCACAATATGCATCATGCTCACCATGGTGGTTTCATGGTGGTTGGCATGCAAACTTAAGAGTGCCCTACTGGGCAAAGCCATTGCATGGTTGAATGAAAACAATGTGTAGCCTTCAGGCTTTTGACACATGATTCAAACAAAAAAGAGTGTGTGGCCATCTGGCTGTTGACATTTGTTTCAAGCAAACTTTGGTGTGTAGCCTTTTGGCTGTTGATGCTAACCACATGTAAGCAGCAGAATACCAACATCTACCACAATCAAGTTCATTGACATCATGTAACATGCATGCAGTGAATGTTTGTTTCCTTAGCTTGCCAGCTGTAGACCATCAGCTCCTAATCACACTGTCATGCACAAGAACATGCAGTATCCAAATAGTGAGTTGCCCACGGGCACAGCATAGAAACAAATGCAGCATGCTGCACACATGCTACACAGAAACATGTGCAACATTGCTTTGTCACAACAGCTGCACATGTTTCCTCAGCAGTGTCTTTGCCTTCTGGCTGCCACAAGCCTATAGCAAGCCCTTCTAAAAACCTAGTCTTCCTTTTCAGAAGCAGATCCAGCTTCCTGTTCAGCTTGGCTTGCTTTACTGTATTTTCCAGTCTTTTTGTAAGACCTCTTACCATCCCCCTCAGTTGCCAGCTTCACTCCAGCTTGGTTCATGTAGTAGAAAAACAAGTTGACATTGTCACTATTGTAGGCAATCACCAAGTCATCAGAAGATTTGGAGCAAGATTTGATTTGTAATACAGCACCTTCCTCATCAAGATGGATGCCCAGGCTGTCATCAGCAGGGATCTTCTCCTTAGCCTTGAGCTTTTTCTTGGGGGGGGCATCTCCAAACAATGCATCACCAGAAGACCCAGCACCAAAAACCATCTCATTCCTTTTCTCAATCAGTTTCTTGCAGCCCATGGACTCCCTCAAAGTAGGCCTGGCCTTGGCATCTAACTTGTCCTTGGTCATGACATTGCATAGGCCAAAGGAAGAAGCCCTGATCTGCAACCACTGGGTGCCATCATCACCAGTCTTCATGAAATTGCCAGGGATCTTCCAACTTTTTTGGGTACTATCAATTGTGATGCAATGCTGCACAGAGAGCTTGGCATCCTCCATGGCAGGAAATGGCAAAACTAAGAATGCTTTCAAGCTGTCAAAGCTGCAGTACTCCAAATGACCAAGCTGGCGATTCAATGCAAACATGAAGCAACAACAGCCATCAGCATCATTTGGTGTGTATTCATGCATCTTGGAGGGCATGTGCTCATGGACAAGCATGGGTTCTGAACAACTCTGAGCACAACTCCAAGGCATCAATCTTTTCCTGCAAGAAGTAGGAAGGATTGGTATGTTTCTCTTTGGTTGGATGCAGTTGCCACTCCTTTTTTTGGGACTGCAAATGTCTCAGGGAAGCCAATGCTACATATAGACTTCAGGCATGGATGCCTGCCACAAAGCAGGAGGCCCACAAGGCAGTCATAAAATCACAGGGTGATATGGCCAACAGTTGGTACTTTGATTTTTAAGTATAAACCCTCATGCTTGCAAAATTAATACTTACCTGTTGGCCTTTGGCCTCTTGGCAGGTGCCTGCTGTTCACTGTTCTGCCTCTTACAGTTCATGTCCATGCTCATCAACAAAGAGTTGGCAGGGATCTGCTTGGTGTTGACAAGCACCTGCACCTTCATGCCTTTCACATCCTTCATCTCCATTGCCATGTTGCAGCTATCCTTTGAGGTATTGCCATGCACCACCCAAAAGGGAACAACCATGCCAGACCACTTGCCATCATTGCATTTCCACAGCTTTGGTGGTGCAATGTACCAGTCAGCACCTCCATACTGCACCTTTGCATAAACTTTTCCTGGTGGCTTCAAAGTGATCTTGTCTACTTTGTCAGTCATGGGGATGAGAAACAGCTCACCCTTGTTGACTTGGGCAGGACACCAAATCTGCTTGACTGGGCTATCCTGAATGAGCACCTTCTTGTTGTAGGCCTTACACATGCCAAAGAGGACACCAAAGATGAAGGCCCTGTCATTTTCTTCTTTGCCCACCAGCACTGGGAGCAAGGAGGCTGCAACAGATGGTTCCAACCAAGCAGGTGCTTTGGCCTTGGATGGCTTGAGCTCCTTTGTGATCTCAGTGGCCTTCACTGTGGTTGTTTTCTTGCTGCCCACGTTTCCAAACAACTCCTGCGCTTGTAGGACAAGATGATCAGAGTGAATCTCAGTGAGAAGCCACACATGTTGACTCCAGTCCTTGTGATGGTAACACTTCCCAACTTCAAGCTCCATGGATTGCTTGGCCAAGAACATGGGGTCTTTTGCATCATTCAAGCCAACAGGCTTGCTGACTTGGGCTGCATTGATGGAAGTCCCAGTAGACGATGATGCCTGAGATGCACTAGGTTTGGACCCAATGTCATCATTGAAGGCATCCTTGATCTCACCCATGTCCTTGTACTCTTTGTTCTCCCTGCCTTGCTTCCATTTGCCAACCAACATCAGCACTGATCTGATGCAGGCTTTCCCAAAAGCCTTGAAACTGTGGTGTTTGTCACCAGGATTGGCTTGGCACACCTGCTGCCACATAGTCCCCAACACAGCTTCAATCTCACTGACCTTCAACTTCAACTTTGAGGACTTGCACTTTTCAAAGTCAGACTTGGTCAGTAGCCTGGCAAAACCATCAACACACCTGGCTCTGCCACAGGTAAGGTTTGCAGCCATGAAGGCACATCTCAAGAAAGGATACAAATCTTCCTGGCTGATCACAGCATCAGTGACTGCACAAAAGAAGTCTTGTCCAAGAACTGCGCTTTCACCAAACTCTTTGCTGAACACATTCAAAAAGTCAATGAGCTGTCCATTGCCTTGCTGTGCAGTAACAAGAAATAAGAAATAGCTGACATGCCAAAAGTTTATCTTGTATATGAAGCTTGTGCTGGGCATGTATCACAATCAATCACATAAACTAAGCCAAAACCAAAGTACCAGAGAACAACTTGACAAACTTGCCAATGGTGTTGGCATAGGATTGTGTGAGCCCCCCTGGGCAGCAGCTGGTGGACACCTCATCCCAGTTGACCTCCTTGGATGAAGTGCTAGAAACAACTTCCCATATACTGGCTGCTAGCTCAAACTCTGATTGGGTGCCAAAGACTGAGTTCGGTGTATTCAAGGCATGCTGAATCAACTCAGCCAGCTTTGGGAACTTCACATCCAATGTGTGGGGGAGAATCACCCATTCCCAGCCCACTTCAACCATTTTCTTCAAGTCATGATCATGTTCCCACACATGGGTGCCCAATTTTCCTGTGACACCACCAAGAGCTTCTTCTTCAGTGTGGCATCCATGCATGCAAGCCTTGATGAACTGGCAAGTATGGCCAGAACTCAGAGAAGCATATCTTTCTGTGCCCAGCACAGGACTGAGAAGCTGTGTGGACTCAGTCAGCTTCAAGAAAGGCTGGACTTGTTTCTCCCGCTCCTGCATGCTGGGGTTCAGCTCCATGGCCACACTGTTTTTCAACAGGGAGATGTCAGCACCAGCCTTCATGATTTGAAGGCCCTTTCTGTGACACCCATGGGGGCTGATCAAAGCCCCTGAACGATTCTTGGGATGGACTATGAAAGCTGATGCCTTGGCTGTTGTGGAATATGCAATGCCAGCATCTAAGAGCATGTCCCTGATGCTCTTCCATTTCTGGATGGGGCCCAAGCTGGAACCCATGACCTTCTTGATGTGATCATCCGCTTTTTGGGAGATTGCCATCTTGCAAAGTTGCAAGCCAAACAAAGGTATTCAACTATCTACTTTGAACCAGCCAATTGCTGAAATGCAGGGCGTGCTACAGCACAAACAAAAGCAAAACTTGCATTTTCAACAATCATGTATATATATATATATGCATCCCAATGGAATGTCAGTTGCTTTTGCCACAAATATCCTATACATACATGTGATTTTGAATATGTAGCCCAGGGGCTTGCTGCAATCAATATGCCAAAAGTGGTGAATGCTTCAAACCATTTTCTCCAGCCAAATAAAGCTTCCATAACTGTGCAAATCATGGTAAGCAAGAATTGGGGCACCAATGACAATGAATCATGGTCATGTGTTGCTGTTCATGCCACATGCTGCAACATGCATTGGGTTTTCAAAAACATGCTTTAGTCTAGCCTCAAGGCTTTCAATCCAGCATGCAGCTGCAACTTGTCATTTATCAAGCCTTGAAACTCAATGGAGAATTACATAGCATTAACTCAAACAAAAGCAAAATCTTCGAACATAAGTCAAATCTCAAACAACAACATCACAAAATCATAGTGTGCAGCCAACAGGCTTCAAGATGTGATGGCCATAATTTCCAGCAAGTTGATTTGCTTTTGCACATAACTTATTTTTCTTTTTGCTTGATTTTCATAACCAGAAAATTCACAAGAACAAAACATATAGGAAAAAAATGCATGTTGTAGCAATGCCAGGAAAAAAACAACAATGCATTTCCCAAAATCACGAGGAGAAATCACTTTTCAGTTGCATTTTGGTCAAAAATTATTTTTGACAATTTTGGTTTTGGATCATGATTTCCGATGCTTGCTAACCACTTAGCCAACTTAGCTAACCATTTAGCTAAGTGGCTAAGTGGTTAGCCAAGCTGCAAGTTAACCATTTAGCAAACACTTTAGCTCAAAGGGATAACTTCTATAAACCTTACAGGTTTTAGCTTAAGCACTTATAAAACAAGTTAAAGTTGTTAAGCACTATAGAGGATACTTGTTGTTACTTTGATTTAGTAGGATTTGCAAAATGGTTACAACTGTTTCTAAGTTGGTTACACATAGTTACAAGCCAATTATAAATCTTTATATCTTTGATAAACTTTACAAACCCCGCGGTTCATCTAAGTACACACGAAATGGACGTTGGACGTCAAAAACTGAATAAAAAATTGCGATTTTACTTATTCAATCGCAACCCTTACGCACGAAATGAACGTTGGACGTCAAAAACTGAGGAAAAAAATGCGATTTTACTTGGTCAATCGTAACGCTTTCGTCTGTGTAAAAGTGTCTGTGTGTAAAAGCCTCTGTGTGTAAAAGCCTCTGTGTGTAAAAGCCTCTGTGTGTAAAAGTGTCTGTGTGTAAAAGCGTCTGTGTGTAAAAGCGTCTGTGTGTCAAAGTGTCTGTGTAAAAGCGTCTGTGTGTAAAAGCCTCTGTGTGTAAAAGCGTCTGTGTGTAAAAGCGTCTGTGTTTCAAAGTGTCTGTGTGTAAAAGCGTCTGTGTGTAAAACCGTCTGTGTGTAAAACCGTCTGTGTGTAAAAGCCTCTGTGTAAAAGCCTCTGTGTAAAAGCCTCTGTGTGTGAAAGTTTTGTTTTTGTGTAAAATCTTCTGTGTTTAAAAGCTTCTGTGTGTAAAAGCGCCTGTGTGTAAAGGAGTCTGTGTGTAAACGCTTCTGTGTGTGAAAGTGTTTGTGTGAAAAAGGGTCTGTGTGTAAAAGCGTCTGTGTGTAAAAGCCTCTGTGCAAAAGCGTGTGTGTAACAGTGTCTGTGTGTAAAAGCGTCTGTGTGTAAAAGCCTCTTTGTGTAAAAGTGTCTGTGTGTAAAAGTGTCTGTGTGTAAAAGTTTCTGTGTGTAAAAGCCTCTGTGTGTAAAAGCGTCTGTGTGTAAAAGCCTCTGTGTGTGAAAGTGTTTGTGTGTAAAAGCGTCTGTGTGTAAAAGCGTCTGTGTGTAAAAGCGTCTGTGCAAAAGTGTCAACAGTGTGTGTGTGTGTAAAAGTGTCTGTGTGTAAAAGCGTCTGTGAGTAAAAGCGTTTGTGTGTAAAAGTGTCTGTGTAAAAGCCTCTGTGTATACAGGAGCTTCTGTGTGTAAAAGCCTCTGTGTGTGAAAGCGTCTGTGTGTAAAAGCGTCTGTGTAAGAGTGTCTGTGTGTAAAAGCGTCTGTCTGTAAAAGTGTTGTGTAAAAGCGTCTGTGTGTGAAAGTGTTTGCGTGTACAAGTCTCTGTGCAAGCGTCTGTGTGTAAAAGCCTCTGTGTGTGAAAGTGTGTGTGTGTGTCTGTGTGTACTAGAAATGCGTGTGTGTGTGTAAAAGCTTCTGTGTGTAAAACCGTCTGTGTGTAAAAGCGTCTGTGTGTAAAAGCGTCTGTGTGTAAAAGTGTTTGTGTGTAAAAGCTTCTGTGTGTAAAAGCTTCTGTGTAAAAGCGTCTGTGTGTAAAGGAGTCTGTGTGTAAAAGCGTCTGTGTGTAAAAGCGTCTGTGTGTGAAAGTGTTTGTGTGTAAAGGAGTTTCTGTGTGTGAAAGTCTCTATGTGTAAAGGAGTTTCGCACGGTGTGAACAGATTTGTCGTGATGATGTAGCAGACCAAAACAATGTGCGCTGTTGATGTGATGCTCTCAGCTGTTGTAGAGCTTCTGTGTGTTGTGTGTGTGTAAAAGCTTCTGTGGGTAAAAATGTCTGTGTGTAAAAGTGTCTGTGTGTAAAAGCTTCTGTGTGTAAAAACTGTGTAAAAGCCTCTGTGTATAAAAGCTTCTGTGTGCAAAAGCGTTTGTGCGTGAAAGTGTGTGTGCGTGTGTACAAGCATCTGGGTATAAAAGCGTCTGTGTGTGTGTGTGTAAAGGCGCCTGTGTGTAAAAGCCTTCTCTGTGTAAAAGTGCCTAGTGTCTGTGTGTAAAGGCGTCTGTGTGTAAAAGCCTATGTGTGTAAAAATGTCTAGTGTCTGTGTGAGAAACCTTCTGTGTGTAAAAGCTTCTGTGTGTAAAAGCGTCTGTGTGTAAACGCTTCTGTGTGTAAAAGCGTCTGTGTGTAAATGCGTCTGTGTGTAACAGCTTCTGTGCAAAAGCGTCTGTGTGTAAAAAGGTTCTGTGCGTGTGAAAAATAATAGGAAGGATAGGATGCAAACTCCGTCTCTCTCTCCCTCTCTCTATCTATGTCTCTCTGTGGTTGCAAGTCACGTGTCATATGATGCCCTTTACCAAGCAGCACAGTGCATGTGCATGGGTTGTCACATGTATCCTCTTCTTGATCAATCTGACTTTTCACAACTTATCCCTCCATAGCTCATATACAATTCACCAACCATTCACCGACTATTTTTTACGACTACCATACTCAGAGCAGCTTGAAAAACGGTTTTTTCGCTCTCGGGCCAACCGTCGTCTAGTTGTCAGTAGACATAGTCATGTTTAGGACTGGGAGGCGATCATCTCACCCTCCGGATATGTTGTAGTTGCAGAATTTCTCATCCGGAGATTTTGGAAGGCCCCCCAGGCCCCCCAGGCCCCCCAGATCCCGAACTCCTAAGCTCTTGAAATAGACCATGAATGACCATGAAAATCATGAAACGGAGCTGAGGACAAGGACCTGTGCGATGATGCCGTTGATCGCATCCAGCAAGCTTTCAGGGAGCTTTGGCCCAGCAAGGCACTGCAGATGGCGCCATCTGGGATGGGCGACCCGGAAATTGGATCGAATTGGGTGATTTTGCCGAGCAAACCATCCAGTTTTGGTAGTAACTGCATAAATATACATAGATATGCATCAGCCAGGATCGTATTGGTTCATGAGTGACGACCAGAGTGTAAAGCAACTACTGCAGATGGGAAGTAGAACTTTTATTCTGGGGCAAAGTAGTACAGTAGCAGAGATGGGTAGTCTGCAAGTGGCCTTGCAACATCTTGCAACACTTCGTAATCTGCTGGCAGGATGCACCGAAGTTGCCCAGCAGTGGCAGCTTCAGATTGCCTTTTCCAGTGCCCAGTGCCAGCATCAACGGCCGGATCTTGTCCGGCCTCGATTTGCTGGAGAGGAGCAACGGAGCGCCACACTGTGTGTTTCATGCCTTGACAGGCCCACTCGCATTGTAGGGGTTTAATTGGCCTATTTCTGCAGTATTTTCAGGCGAGTCCCCCTACTGTGGATTCACCAGAGTCAGCTTTTTCATTGTTCTAATGTAAGAGGGTTAAGGCATGGTAAGGCTGAGTTTCCTCCTTCTTTCACCAAAAGTGGCAAGCTAACAATGTTCGATCAGTCTCTATTGAGGTTGTACGGCAAGTTTCAGGGTGGATCTGGAGAAAATATCATCCATGGCACCATCAAACAGGACGCTGGAGCAAGAGATTCAAAGGGAGATGGAAATGATTTCCTTCAGTTTCATGCAATTTAGAAGCTCAGCCGCGCTCATTGCCCACAACCCGTTAGAGCCGTTTGAGTGATGGTGGAAATATAATGAACAAATATATATTATATATATTATATATACTGTAACTGTACATACGTATATATATATATATTAATCGATGGCAAAGTCTCAAATCCTCCAGGGTGAAATCATCAACAGAGTTTGTAGTGAACCTGTGTCCCTTCCTGAGCCCTCAACAAGTGGGTACTTCCTTAAGATGGTTTTAATAGTGTTTAATACCCTCTCAATGTCTCTGTGTGGCCTCCAATCCATCAACGGACCCCCAGATCCTAGGTTGGCGGAAAAGTTTGACCCCTTGGAAGTTTCAATTACAGTACAAGATGTATTCAGCTTTTGCCCCAGCAACACTCAAAGAACTGCAATATTCAGCTGCAGAGAACCCTCCACCAACATCCACCAACTAGAGCATGATATCAAAATTGGAACGTCTTGGGAAGGACCATCGTTGGGGGATGGTGGCATGGCTCAACTGACTCAACGGCCGCATGTTTTGGAATGTGCCAGCAAAGGAAGACGAGCGGACCAGCTTCCTTTGCAGCAGATCACCAACTTTGCCTATGGGCCCAAACAATTACATCCGAGTCTTGACGCAGCGCAGTGGTTTAGAAATTTTAGAACATAAGGATGCTTTGATCAAGCTACATTGGTGCACCATGGACAGCTCAGAAATGTTGGAAATGAATAGCAAAAAGGATCCAGAAGGTAATCTTACTCTGCACAGCAATACACTTTGCAGTTTCGACAGATGGGGACGACAGTGCATCCCTTTGTCATCCTTTTTGATTTGTGTGTTTGAAGGATAACATTCTGTAGACCCCGGAGATGGGGTTTCTCAACCAGTGGACTGTTGGTAGTGTTCGGAGGTGAAGGGGCACAGGGAGCCCAGCACCACCTATACAGAGACTGCTGCAATAAACACTACAGAAACATGTCAGTGGCTCGCGGACATCCTTTTCGCTGATATTTTTGCAACAGAGACAAAACATTCAATTGAACAGGAGCGCTGTCTTGCTTGTGCGTATTGAATAATATTGAAATATATTAATATATTGATATTATATCATTATATGTTGTATATATATAATATATAATTATAAATATATGTTTGTTTGAGAACCCCTCTAATACAAGTTGGAGGCGACCCAACCGACGTGTGGCTGCAAGGATGTTCCTCCAAATGGAGCCCAAATTGCTGACAGCATCTTGGCTTGTTGAGCGGCTCATCATCAAGGCCCTTCAACGAGCACTAAGTGGTTGCACCAACAGAAGAGGATATCCTCAAATCCTATGATGTTGGTGTTAGTCAATGAAACGTATTCTATCATATTGTATCCAAGTTTTTGGTTGAATCTTCCCAAGAATTTGCTCTTTGAATGTCTTATAAGTATTCATAAGTCCTATAGCCACTAGATCATCTAGATCCACCGGTGGAATCAGGCCTGGTATCCCGGTATCTCTGCAGTGAGCCCTCGGCATGTGCCGCTGCGCCCGGAGCACCTGGCAGCGCTTCCGCGCTGGATGCTGCCAGCGGGGCCACCGGTGCTGTATTTGGTGCTGCTGGGAGCCAAGGATCCCGTGAAACTGATGCAGGACAGGATTTGGTGCTTCATTTTACGGAGCTAGGAAAGCCTTGGGGCGTATTTGAGAGATGTGGGTGTTTACTCGGTATTGTGATGTGTAATGGGTTCTAGTTTGGTTGGACATGTCATTCCCCAACTTCTTGGAAATCGGCTGTGTTTGTTTCTCTCAGATCGATAGCGGTATGGTCAATCGTTCCAAATCGTTCCATGTCGTTCCATCGGGGTGGGGGACTTGATCACCTGCGTATGTTGTTCCTTTTGGATCCAATGTTGGTTGATGTTAAACCCCCCTGGTTGATTGATGGTAAACCCCCTTTATCTTGGGAAAATAAACGAGGTCGAATTGTTTTCACCCTGAGATCTACTGAATGGATCTGAATGGTCGAGTCCCAGGCAAGAGACTCTCTCCAGCCCCGGCTGGCCAGATTTGTATAGATTCGTTGGAGTGTTTTTTCAATATATTTCACTGATGGGGTAGAGTAGCTGCCCAGCACGGTGATGTTGCCCATGTTCTTGCACATGTTGACAGCATGCCATACGATGCCGTTTGGGTCACTTTGGATCTTCGCAGGACACCGCAGAGATCTTGAGGGCCTTCCATGACCTGTGGAGCCTCACTGGGGAGCAGCCCACGCGATACCTGCACTTGGCCACTCGCCCCAAGAAGAGATTCTATGACTAAGTGAAGCAGTCAACGAAGTTAGAGGGAACCAATGGGCCGACGAAGTGGGTTATTTTCAGCACAGACCACCCAACATCTTCCAATTCGTGCATACGCAAGCGTCTTGCCATCAAGCAGAGTCCTTCCTGAACATTTGGCTGGTTCAGCAGTTCAGCATCCAGGTTCTGTGCGCAATGAGTGGCACCGAGGCAGTTCCTGAGTGTTCCAACACAGCCACGGCAGTGCCTTCTGTCCTTCACGCTTGTCTTGGCCAAGCCAAGACCACCGCCTTCAAGGGCCTGGCTGAGGCACACTGGTGCTGTAAGGGCTGCAGGGTCACTAGGGTTGGATGGCTGAACTGCTTATGCCCAAGGGATCTCAACACCTTCGTCAAGAGACTAATTTAATGTTGATGAAGAATGATGAAGACGCATTGCACTTCTTGGGAGTGGCTGCTTGATCATTCAATGAGTTTTAGATTTGAGATGTTTTAGATATGTACCAAGTATGCTCGGCTCAACATGTTTTGAATATACACACATACGCATACGAATGTACACATTCCAAGGTGGTGCAGGACTTCTGGCAAGACTTTGCCCCATGAGAGACAAGTCTTTGGGAGATCACTTCCAACAGTGTAAGCCAAGACAGGTAATGGATGTAATGGGCAAGTACGACAGCAGCTTTGCCGGATCACTCCTTTGCTGCACCATGCGATGAGGCCTTGGCTTCATTGACCGATGTGACCTCCGAGAAGTTAGAAGCCACTTGCAGCGAAGCTCTTGGTGAGTCCATGAATGTCGCTTGGCGGCTCCAGGGGGAACGGATCCAGGCCAAAAAAAGGAGTAGTGACTTCAGAGAATCAGCTAGAGACCCTCAGAGCTTGGTCATTTTTACGAAAAAACCATTCAATATTTGATACAGTATTTGAGGAACCTTGATTTGCTGAGCCCTGTTGAGGTTGATGTAAAGTCGTGCGAGGCGGTGAAACCGATCCTGAAAGATACAGGACCAGGGGCTGGGGGATGGTTCTCGAACGTCAGGTTTCAGGAAGCACTGCTTGGCATATGGGTACCATGGGTTCGCAAAGGAACATAGGATTGGAATCCCTCAGATTCAATTGGAATAGAGGTTCAATTGGAATAGAGTAGAGATAGGTACAGTGATTTCTGATTCTCTACAAGTGTCATCCACCACAAAGTAGAATCTGCCACAAAATATGGTGCATTGATGGTACAACTTTCATCCACCACAAAGTAGAATCTACCATCCTGGAATGTTACCCATGTCCGTCAAGTTACTCTTGGTACCTTGTGGTCACACTGATGGGTTTCCTGCAGGAGAAATCGAACCATTGTCATGATGCCAGTTCCAGCAGCTTTAGATATCATATACTGTAAATATAGATAATATATACACATAATATATATATATATTATACTTTATATACTATATAGTATATATTATATACTATATATTATACACTATATATCATATACTATGTATTATAGACTATATATTATAGACTATATATTGTATACTATATATTGTATAATTTAAATATACGCGTATATATATATACACAGAATATATACATAATATATCATATACATATAAATATAATATATAAATTTATGAATAGATCTTAGAACGTACGGGGGATTCAGAGCATCTCCGTGGTCTCCGTGTTCACCGGAATTTCTTGGAGCGCCCAGGAGCAGACACTGCCCTGTGGGTGAACGGCCGCCTGTACGGTCCTTTGGAACTAGATCCTTGGCTGACTAGCTGACTAGCTGTGACTAGCTGAATCCCAAACTCCCTCGACACTTGATGAAACTATAACAATCCGAAGTGGCCGAGCCTTCAGCTGGATAGCTGGTGTTTTTGGCTGATGTATGATTATATATGTTTTTATGTGTATTATGATGTATTAGGTATTCGCATCCAAAGATCTCTCTCGGTGAGTCTGCAGAGTACATACGCAGCAGCATCACCAAAACGTTGGATTCATTCACAGTGGTTGCTGAATTTTCTCAGCGTCAAGATGCTTGAGATTGCTTGAGCTTTGGTGAGCATCTGAGTATAGTGAAGTGTTTTTTATGTTTATGAGTTTTGTGCACGTGGGTCCATTCCGCAGCGAGAATCCGAATTTGGAGCTTCTGTGGCAGGGTCATGTCCAGAACACCCACCAAACAAAACAACTCTTCGCCGGAAATGGCCCGCCATGAGCTTACACAAATTTGGGGATTTGTTGCGATCCCCTTGCTACCCAACCAGGATGGCTCCCTGAACTTTGCCATCCTGCAGCATGCAGAGCAGTTGGGAGACGTCGAGGAGCTGTGCGGGGATCTTGGGCCCATTACAGACTGGAGGACGATATGTCATTCACGAAAGGTACCAGGTTCAGTTGCTCAGTTTTTCTGAGATGTGGCCCGTTTTCCATATTTTTTCATGGAGGACGCAGATGAAGCACTGCAAAAGCTAAAGGATGCCAATGTGAGTGACTACATGATTGCGTATGTGTGACTTGCCATGAAATCAGCAACCCAAAAATTGTGACACGAGTCCGGCGATGCCATCTTTGGTGATAAAAATTGCTGGTTGAAATCATCCGAGGTTCTGAGAACCTAAAAAAATACCTATTTTGGTTTCCGTTTAAAAACATGTAAAAACATGTAAAACTAGGTACCCTGATGAACATCCAGAAGAAATCAGGCTGTGTTACTGTTTAGATGTTCACCAGATTTTAAAAGAATGAGTTTTGCTTTTAGCCACGGCGATGTGGCATGATATCGCTGCTCTTTAGCTGACTTTGTTTTGGTACTCAAGCATATATGGTCATATATGTGGTTTGGGGTCAATATGAAACACCCAAGAAAACCTGCTGAAATCCTTGTTTCTGGTGTTCTTTGAGATATGTACCTGAGTGCAAGTGGTTTGGCCTTGGCACGTGTTGACCCATGCTTCTCTCTGCGCATGTGCGTATGCATGGCATAGATGCACATATGCTTACAAATAGGTCACAACATTTCATTAATTGCAGTCCACAGCCAGGTCATTATACATTCCAGCAACTGTCAATATCATACAATTACATGTGAATATGATACGTTCTAATTGTATATGTATATATATATATATGTATATACATATATATATAGTATATACATACATATCGATATTATATGTAGATATTATACACGAGTATAATGTTAAACGTATATCGTATATTACACACATTTACATATTCACACACTATAGTCACTATAGACACATAAGTTGGAGACACCCATTGGAAAACCATGGGCTTCGTACAGTAAACCTGGAACATTTATTTGAGAAGATGGGGGTGTCAACGTTTGTGACACGCTCATTGGATGGCATTTGGTCAAGCTGAACACACATCAAATATCATTAAATTGCACAGAGGGATCATTTCCAACTTTGATACCTCCAAACCTGAATCACCAGGTTTAAATGGGTGAAATCTTATCTTATCCATCCATCGGCATGGCCATGGCCAGGTTAGCGGTTCGTGCCAGAGCCGTTGCCGAAGGTTTCGCAGCGCGGAGTGGAGAGGCAGAAGATGAAGCGGAACAGACGCAGGTGGAAGAGTTGAGACCGCTGGAAATGGTTTGACATGTGTTTCTTTATGGGATTTTGTGAGTATTTACTGAATGTATACAGTAGTATACAGTATAAAATTAGTGCAGTATATATATATATATATATAAATGTAGTGTATTTGTATACTATATATATATATTATACATATATAGATTGTGTGTATATTGTGTATATTGTGTATATATTATGTGTATTGTGCGTATACTGGCCCAGGACTATGACCTTCGGTTCAAAAGTTGGACGCACTGGGGATGATGCAAGTTGGGACATCTCCCATGCAAACGTGCCCATTTTCAGGGTCTCCATTTGTAGATGATGTTTTCCTTCCAGGTGAAATCACCAAGAAGGTACTCGTATATACTTATACTCACTGGATTGGTTTAAGGGAAAATCTACAGGAAACCATGGTTTTTACCATCAAATATAGGACTTTCCTGTAAATTTTCCCCTAATCCAATTCCATGATATACTGTACCTACTTGGTGCCAGTCGCCCAAGGGTGTTGTTCTGATCTGACAGGACGCTCGCAAGACAGAGAGTGCATACTACTCTGCAGATCCCAGTTTGCAGCTTCACGTGGCACCAAAGGCACCAAGTTTCCTCATGCACATGGCTCAAATGTGTGCCAGCTATAGCGACCTCAAACGACCCCGCTGTAAATTGTGGCTTTTATGGGAGACCATCCCAAGGTTGGTTTACAAGTTTCCGGATCGCGATTCTGATTGCTAATGCCACCATAACACTTTTTTTGGGTTTCTTCAGTATCATTTTTCATCATTTTTCCCTACCATTTGGCTGCCATTTTTCCCACCAGGGAGATGTAGCACCCTTGCGCATCTTTTCTGCAGCTCGGATCGAAGAATTGCGAACAACATTCCCCCTGCGATCCCATCCCAACATCTCGACCTGCAGAGAGTCCCTGAAAAAAACCATGTATCATCATGTAGTTCAATGAGTTCAATGTAAAATAAATCGGAAATTCATGGACATCCACCATCCGATCATCCGAAGGAGGATCGTCCGAACATGTTGGGACCACACATCGAGACACCCTGAATCCATCTGAATCCCTTGCAGCCAAGGTCATGGATCCCTTGGGACAAGCAGCTCAGCGACTACCAGCTCTGTTGCAGCTCCTGCACGAGGTGCGGCAACAGGCGATGGCAACAGGCAAGCATCATGTTTAGCATGCATATACAGTCTAATACAGTATACATTACATAGATTTTATAGATCTAGATGAATTTAGATGAACTTAGATGATTTCAGATGATTTTAGCACTTCAGCTTCTGTTCAGCCTCCTAAGTGGTTCCTCATGTTTCCTGCCCGGAGGAGCTGGATGCCGAGATCTTCCTAGCTTTGAGACCGCAGCGCCTGGCTGAGTCACCCTTGACAGGCTACTTCCGCACGGCACCCGTGCCCAAGATGTCCTCCCCAGGCCCGAACTCGGGCGAATTAGGTCGAAGCTACTGTGGATACTGCGGTACACCCCAATAAAAGGTACCATGTTGTACCATGTTGTACCATGTTGTACCATGTTGTCTATGTACAAAGCATCAAATCTGCATATGCACATGATACACTCGTGATACATCATTGATTCATATTGATTCATTATCATATTAACAACATATTAAAACAACATATTAACAACATATTAACAACATATTAACAACATATTAACAACATATGATTGACAGTCATTAACCAATATATTCACCCATATATTCACCATACCTCCAGGCCTCAGTGCACTGGCCACCTGGGATGGTCATCTTCCAGGGGTACGGATCGAGTTGCCACCGCGCCGTGGGCAGCCACCTGGCGGTTTTATTTGGGTCGTCCCTCTGGGTCACCTGAGTCACATGTGAACAAAAATGTTGTTCACCGGGAATTGATATATCAATTCACTTCAATTAATGAATTGATGGAAAATTGATGGAGAATTGAATATAATTGATGCATTTCTCTGGTTTCAAAAACTGTTTCAAACTCGTCTAAAGTTTTGAAATGTGTTTTTGTGAGTTTTAATCTAAGAATTCTGATTTTGGAGGATCATCCGCAGTTCGCTGGTTGTTCGGTGCAGGTTGAAATCACGAGGTCAGAAACCAGTTGGGAAACCTTGTTTGAGCGCTGGGAAACCAGCCATTGGGCCATCGGGATCCACTATTCGTTGTTTGGTTATGACATGGGTTTTGACTGCGGACCCTAACTTATTTTCCACCTCTTTATTTATCCTCTTTCGACCTACCTCTTCCTCTTACATGGGATTCTTATATTTGCATTATCAGGCCAGGCTCATGTCAGTTCCCAACTAGCCGACTGGAGGATGGAGGAGGTAAAACCGAAGCTCAAGACTGCATGAAGCTTGGGTGGATACTTTGATATTTCAATCTTTTTCAATAAATGGGGATATGCACAAACCAGCTGAAAAAGGATAATTGCTTGCATCTAAGATTGGCTATAAAGACGTTACAAGAGGAGTTCCTATCTGAGATAAGGACTTTGGTTTCGTAATTCTGTTTTCTCCTGCATTTATCCGAAGGCCGCAGCCCTCTTCTATCTCTCAAAACATGACACACTTCCATTGCCAGATGGACCTCCATCCATTAATTTGTTCCTTTTTTTCGAACCTGGAACGTCCCAAACCGGAAAAAAACGTCCAAACGGAGGTTGCTAAGTGCGCAGCTGAACGCGCCGGATGCCTGGCTGTGCTCTGCTGTGGACTCCGGAGGCGCTGACTTGGACAATATCCGAGCCTTGGACCAGGCAGTGTTCATGCGAATACCCCGAAACCCAATTTGGGAGTCAGAGAGTTCTGGAAGCGAAATCAGATGTATTCAGATGTTCTATGGTTTTCTTGAAGTCCCGTTGATCATTTCGGAATTAGGAGTTAGACCGATTTTGCCAGTTGTTCCATCCAATGTTGGACCGATTTTCATCCAATCTCAATATTTGTATATACATATAATTATACACTACATTGAACTACATTGTTTGTGTATGTGTCTGTGGTGTGTATTTATGCGTATATATACTGGAGTATATAGGAGCATATTGTTGAAGGTGTATCAATCATTTTGTATAGATGTGTATACTGTATACTATTTGTCCATGTCACATAAGCGGCCTTTGAGACACATTTGCTTGAGCCAAGGCGCGGATGCACGTCGGGGATCTGCAGGAGCACAGGTGCACATGGCAGTGTGCTATAACTGCGAAGAACTTGGAGCGTGAAAGCACACACATTGAAATGAATTGAGGGAGAGTTTGCGACATGTTGCAGCAAACACTGCCCTTTAGCTTCAAGCCTTGGGTTTCTTGCACATTGTCTGTTAAACCACGTCTGGTAAAAAATGTCACAAAAAACTTGCCGGATTTCGGATCCATGATGTTGCGACATGTTGCGACGATTTGGATTTTGTTGGCATCCAGTGGCATCCACTGAGGGTTTTGGGGGGTTGGGTGCCGCTCACTTCACCCGGAAGGTTCGCGTGCGATACGTTGTTGAAGCACTGTTCTTGGAAGGCTTTGCGGAGGAGCATGACATTGCAGGGGGTGTCAAGCAGGTCCCGAGAAGCTCAAGAGCTTACGCCGCTTACGCGGTCATCGTTTGTTCATCCATCTTCCAAAACAAATGACTCGGGGAGCAAAATGGCATCCAGGCAGCCGCAGGTGGGGACTGCCGGCACCGCATGGCACCGCCACTAGGACGGCATGGGCCGACCTGCGACGGGGCGACAGTTGGCCCTCGCACCCTTGCGTGGCACAGAGAGCGCTGCTGGCAGTGACTCTGTGGTAACTTGTCGGACAACAAGAGTCTAGTTCTGGCGGTTCGAGGGGTATTGATGGCATGCAGTGCCTGCAGGAGGCTGTTGTGGAATTTCTGGACGGATGTTATCAGGGGAAACAAACATTTACTGGCGGGAAGAAGCAAACACTAGATGAAGAGGGGCAGGGTACCAAAAGGTTCAAATTTACAACAAGCAAAGAAAGCAAAGCTAAGGTCTGATTGAACGCCTTTTTGTTGACATACCTGACATACCGCCGGATTGCTGCTCAGAGAAATCATTATCATTTTCTTATTAGATGATTACTTAAAATTCTTGTTGGAGTCAGAAAGCTGGGAGAGTTGTATACCTAGATGGACTCAGGAGCTAAGATTGCCACCAGCCGGATTTGTCAGTGTGGCGCAAACAAGTGGAACAGAGTCTGCGTTGATAAGATCATCCATCCTGCAATTTCCTTCGTGGACTATGATTCTCAAAGAATTCCCTTTCCCTTTCCTGTGTGAGAAGAAAGAATCACCAATCAGAACATGTTTGCTCAGGTGGTGAAGAGCGGCTACTTCCAGTTGCGCCAAACGCCTGGAGTGCCACTCAGCCAAGCCATGGCCATGGTGTTGGGCCTACGGGGACTTGTGGTATGCTTGAACGTTGGAGCATGTCCGTTTGCGCAGGTTTCAATTGGCACTTCAAACACAGAAGGCCGAGAAGTTGGTGAAACCCAAGGGCCTGGTCCATTTGACGGTGCGCTTGGGCGCGCCAGGGGTGTGGGACATGGTTGCACCATCCAGGGCACGACGTGAAAACTTGCGTTTGGCAGAATTTGCTTCCCTACTTATCCCTACTCCGGCCATTGGTATCCGACATCACTAGCTGCTGTGCCTTAACCAGTTGTAGATGTAGTTTTGATGCATGGGATCCGATCAAAAATCATTGACCCAAAATTTGGATGGTCAAATGATTATGAAATTATGAACATGATATAACATGATTGCTGAAAACCACAAAAATCGCAAAAATGTGCGTTTCCATGAAGACCCCATTTTTGAGCCATAGCCACAGAGCCCATTTGATCCTTTCAGGACTTGGCTGGTCGAGGCTCCCTCTTGGAGACTTTGCTGATGCCTGGCGAGCGGCAAGACGACCCCTACGCTAAGCTCTTCGCGACCAAGAATTCAGAGACTTGGCCATGGGGTTGGTGCCAACATGTGCCAACTTTGGTCAGATCAGGCCCAAGCAAAACTGGCATTGTTCTTTATTGAAGAAAGTTTGCTTGATGATCCATGTGCACCAATTTGCCTCGAAATGGCCAACATTGCAGAGCAATTGTCAAAGGATTCACTATCTTTCACCCCTGAACCATGAACATGTCATAGTACATGTTCGTTCAGCCTTGGATGTCTTTATTTAGTTTTATTCCATGAATCATATGTATACATATGTAATACATATGTAATACATATGTAATACATATGTAATACATATGTAATACATATATATATATATATTCAATATCCTGACAACTGATACAACTGAGGCTATGTGTTGTTTGACGTTGGTCTTCAGAGTCACTTCAAGACACATGTTGATGTGCCTTTGAAAATCTATGAAAGTCTGCTCACCTATGGGAAATCGAAAGGGGCCGACATTTGGAATAGATGCTGTGATGTAGTTTCTGTATCCAGCTCATTACGAATTGAGTTGGTAACTATCAACCTCTATTCCAGATCCTATGATGATCAAAAAATATACATAATTATATATTAATATAATACATATATATATTACATATATAGATATAAGCCCACTCAACAAAGCTATGACGATCCTATGATGATCGTCCTAAAGAGCACTCCATTTTCGGCCATCCGATCATCGGTCCACACGCGATTCGAGTCCACAGGATTCCATCAAGACCTTTGGGGGCGCCGGCGGCGATCGAAAGAAATGTAAGGAAACGATCCACATTTTCAGCGTCGCCTCAGGCAGGCGGTGACTAAAGGAAAGTCCAGATCCACCTGGCTAATTCTCATCACAAGAGGCACCAGGTATGGTGAACATTGGTGAACCATGCAGAGACTAAGTAGACTAAGTAGACATCTGAAGACATCTGAAGACACCTTCAAGAGCAGAAGTCAAGGCTTCACCGATCCGGTCAACGCTAGGCCTTCGCTACGAAAGGTTGCTGCACCTTGGCACCAAGCTGTAGGCCTTGGCTGTTTGGATTTGTTGTCGTAAATATATCATTGTGCTGCAGTGTAAGGTTACAAGAGCATACCAGTTTGGTTCATTTCTTTATAACAGTTTGGTTCGATGTCCAGGCTCATACCTGTATGGCCAGGGCTCGCGGGTCTCTAGGCCCTCTAGGTGTGTTTTCCATGCATTTTTCACCACTGCTTTGCAGCTAAGGCGGATCATGATGATGTCGGTCAGGAAGCACACCAAATGCGCCTTGGTTTTTCCATTGAACATTCCGAGGTGGCGCCAGGGAACAGTTCTGGAGGTGTAAAGGATCAACATTGGAGCCTCTATGGACTCTATGGTTTCAGCTCGCTCGTGCTACCCCGAAGATACCCATGTCAGCTAATGAGTACTAATGAGAATGCATAGCTTTGAAGGTGCAATGTGTTGAGACAAGACGGTGTGCCAAAATCCAGTTTGGCGCCTCGTAAACAAGATTGAAGACGCGTGAGGTCTGGATTGTTTTGGGATGTTTTGGGTATGAACGCCATCTATTGGTCCTGTGGCAATCCGAGAATCAAGTCCATCCCCACTTATAGAAATGTGAGGCAGCACTGTTACTGTTACGTACAATGAAGATGAATGTGACACAACATTGCAATACATGGCAGTGACACCATTTGAGATTCCATTGTTTGATCTGTCAGTTGTGCCTTAGCGTCTATATCCATTCAATCCCATTGGACTCAGAAACCTCAGAAACTCAGCAGCTTCTCTCCCAGCTTCAGGTCCCCTGCGATTTTGGCTAGTGGAGAATTTCCTATCTGCCAGCTTCAGACGCATGTTGCCGGGTTTGGCGGCCGAGGTGCGCTCCGTGAGCATTTCCAGCTGTGGTGGTTGGTTTGGTGGACAAAAGATTGAAGAATATTCAACTATTATGGTTATTAACCATTAACCATTATTAACCATACAATATTCAACTGGAAATCCCACTTGCGCCACTCCTTGTGGTACTTAACCTGTCTTTCAGGATGCAATTTGTTCATTGACTTGATGCATTGCCAGGTGGGTTTTGCAGTGAGCACGGTGACCTACAAATGGCCTACCTGGTTGACCCTTGGTTCATCAACTCCCTCAGCGGTCGACCAAAGCATGTTGAACCTTAAGAGAAGAGCTCGAATGATGACAAAGACGTATGTAAAATCATGAAGATTCATGATTGTTTATAAATATGATATAGACATTATATAATATATGTATATATATATGATATATGTGTGTATATACTGTGTATCTAGAAGATGAGCCCCTGTTTCTCCGGTCGGTGGGGGGCAGGACCTGTTCAATCCAACCCCCCAATGGCCGAATGGCCGATGCAGTTGAGGCGGGAACAAGTCCAGAAGCAGAGAGTGATTTGGGCCTACAAGCACCTTGGCTCGTACTGTGCAAGCTCAAACCTCAACCTCCCCCAGCATGCTTCATTTGTTTGCTTTGTGCGACTTCGAAAGGTTCGAATACGGTGCTCTTCGATAGCTTTTCAATGGTTTCTAAAAAATCCGGAAGCAGGGAATGGAGTGTTTTCCCTGAAGGGAACTTCTTGCAAAGGCTAAGTAAGGCTCGATTACCTCGTATATCTTTTCAGATTTGTTAACTGTTAACTGTGGATAACTGGTATAATATATAATCATCCTTTCATATCTGTTAAGTGTTGACTGTTAATACTGATTCCTGGTATTTTGTTTCCAAGGGTGCTTAAATATTAAACGCATTGACCAGGGGAGTCGAAACATGGCTTCAGGATCCTTTTCCTGGATGTCTTCTTTCCCGGTGAAGTGAAGCGCAGCTGGGCCACAGAAAGGTGATGTCCGGTGATGTCCGGTGATGTCAGCCTTGGAGCCTTCCAGGTAAGGATCCATCATGATCCATCGATATCCATAGATATCCATAGATATCCATAATAGATCATAGATATTCATAGATCATAGTAGCATAGCTGGTATGACGGTATGACGGTATGACGCAGATGTCAGTTGATACCTCAGAACTCCTTTCCTTTCATTTTCCGGGGAACCCAATAGGTCAGTGACATTCAGTGACCACCACTGTTCAGCAAGGGCAGGAAACGCAAGGGCAGAAGTAAGGCTCGTCTGGGTCGCCCAGGAATTCTCTTCATCGATGCCGATCAGATTGTTCGGGCTGATGTTTCTTGGCATCGGCCTAGATTTTGCCGGTTGTATGCCACATTCGTACCAGGCCCAAATGCCTTGGGTTTGTGATTTCAGCTCCAGGATTTGCCAAATTTGTTGTTTGTTGCGATAGTTTGGGTTTTTTCAGCTCCAAATATCTGAAATTTGCGTCTCTGAGGTCAGGGAACTCTGGGAACTGGACATCGAAGGCTGACCCGACAGCTCGGAAACCACCAGAGGTATCCAGAGGTATCCAGATTCTGAGATTGCCTGACTCATCATCCTAGACTTGCAGCTGCGAAGTCCATTGAAAATATCTAAAAATATATGGGTATGAATCAATACCTATTAATACCATTTTTAGTGGGATGAACATCCATTTACCAGCTATTTTGGGGTTCACGAGGGGTACAAGGTTTTGACCCATCCCCATATAATTCTAAATATATTTAAATTCATAGAACTCCGTGTGCGATTGCCCAGACTAGATGTGAAACCTGCACGGCCAAATCCCAAGGTCAAGTGTAGTACTTTGGGTCCATGCTTTCAACCGGACAGAAGATCTCTGGGTTTTGATTGGACGTTTTGCTCTTTATATAGACATATTATGACATATTATAATAGACTGTAGGTCCGGATCTCCGCCCGTCCCAAATGTCGCAGAAGTGGAGCGGCCCAGCAGGTGAATTCTTGACTCAAATTCTCAAATAGAAATAACACATAAAGATTTCAATTTGAGACGCCAGCGGTCCCATATCAACCCAGCAGGCATTTTGTACCAATCCTCCAATGCCAGGCAAGGTCTATGGTTTCGTTCCCTTCTGCGGCTCTGGGCCATCTGAGAGCCTTAGCAGCTCCATGTGGAAGTCGCTAACTGGAAAGGCCCAAGCGGATCTTTGCAGTGTTTTACAGTTCTAGCCAGCACGATTCATGCGTCAGAGTTGGCACTATCTCTAGGCATCTCTAGGCGTTGACAGTGAATCATGGTCTTTCCAGGTTCCGGTGGCACCCAGCACATCGGCTTCACACCAGTTTGTCATATTTGATAAGAATAGCGGTTGCCCGGTTGTCTCTTGTTGTTCGAAAGGTCCAGATTCTTGACTTGAAGGCCAAGAAAGTATTAGATGCAGGCATTTGTGCCCGGGCCCATTGGGCTATATATTTTTCATTATTTTTCCAAATCAAAAATAGTGCTCACATCTGCCTATAGGCTCTATAAATCTCTATAAGGTGGGCCTAAAGATTGGATTTTGGAGCTTCGCGCAGGCTGCCAAGCAAGAAGACCTGAAGAATCCTGACACTGTCGGCTTCAGATTCTGGGAGCGGCTTGGCGGCAGCCAGTCCACTCTTGAAAAGACGTTCTAGAAATACCCCCTATAGAAATCACTGGAATTTTATTGGACATGGAAATCCTCATGTTTGTTCTATTGCAGATACTGGATAACTACAACAGTTTGGCTGTTCTACAGCCTTCCAAGAATGATTTGGCATTGGAATGGTGGCAAGCTCTACACCCCCATAGCTGGCACTAGAGGAATAAGTTGTCAGGGCTCTTCACGGGCAGGTTGGCATGTCATGGAGAGATGCCCGAAATGGCTCTGACAGTCCCAGAACTACCCTCACAGTATCCCAAGTCCTTGGCATCGCAGGCAGGGCTTTTGGAAGACTCATTTGAAAAATCGTCACTTCTATCACATCTCTGCGCTGTTCGTGGTGGATTTAGTGGTGCCTAGTTGGCACGCAGTCTGTCGATGTCGGGTCATGATGCAGTGAATTTGGATATAAGTCGACTGGATGGGGAGATATAGGATCATGGAGGAGATAACATGTCGTTGCCAAATCTTGAAAGCCATCAGAACACGCACACTGAATGCCTAGATTCCCATGGCCCTGTCAAATCGTATCAAATTCAAACTCGCAAGTGCAGCAAATCTCTCCAAGCTGTGATGATCTGTGATATCTACATACATATATAATTATATATATGTGAAATATTATATATTATATACCTGTCGTATACAGTGGCTATGGAATCTGCTGGTGACTACAAGGAATAGCCTGTTGGCTCGAGCTTGGATTCAAGCAGTGTGTGCAAGCATTGTGTGAAGCATCGCACAATCACACATCAAAGATCATCAAAGCCGGATTTGCTGACCATTTTCCTGCCAGTCCAGGAACATGGAATGCCTTGATTTCTAAGGCCTTCCGTCAGCGTGGTGCTGGCGACATTCTTAGGGATGTCTACCAATCCCTCACGGCGGATCCTCATAGTTTGGCCAACCTGGATCAGGAGTGGAGTGGATCAAGGGTAGGAAGGAGTATCGATAAAGAAGGCAAGATGCTGTTGCAGATGAATTGGCAAGATGCAAGTAGATGCAAGTAGATGCAAGTAGCATCAAGTAGCATCAAGTAGCATCAAGTAGCATCAAGTAGCATCAAGTAGCATCAAGTAGCATCAAGAAGCCAAGTACCAGCGTACTAGTAGCATTTGATCCTGGATGGATTGTAATATCCGAGACATGGAAAACTATTCCATGTCGATCCTGCGGAATTCTAAGCTGCAGGACTTGCCCAACTACATCCAGGCCAATCTGCCTATCCATAGCTTGCCTCAGGAGGGCCACCAGGGCGCTTGATGTTATTTGTGTTTGTTCAATTTCTTAGGGAAATTTGGGGATCTTGTGGGCAGAGCTGTTCTTTTTGGATCTTTTTTGGTAATTCAATATGTGACCTGTCGCAGCAACCCAGCGGCGGGCAGGAGTGGCTTTGGTGCGAAAGTTGGTGTAGCGAAAGCTCCAAAAAGAATGCCAAGACCATCGACATGTGCTGCTTGGCAGCACCCCAGCAGTTCAGCCTGACTTCAGACAGCGCCTGGCCCCCAAGGTGTTTCATGTTGAAGTGGAAAGGTGGCGAGATATACATGATATAGATATGATTACAGATATGTGTATAAATATGGTGTGATACTCTCATACACACATAATCATACTTACATATATTTGATGCATACGTTTGTCCCACCAGCACTGGGTTGAGCCTTGTTTCATCAGATTACAGCAGGACTCATGGCATCAATTACAGTACCTGACTGTATCAGACTGCCTAAAAGTCTGTGGTTGTGTGTGCCTATTCAAGACAAGCGGGTTCGGAGCCTACCATGTGATCAATCACTGCGCCGGAATATGCCGGAATATGGCTATGGCTCAACAATATTTACCCATATTTTCCAAAAGTTCGATGCTAGTTATTTAACATGTACTATCAAGTAGTACAAGTAGGGTGGAGGGTGGTTTAAAGATATCAATTTATGTCAATGATCACCAAAGCTCCTATTTGAGGTCAACATCCTTCCAAGAAGGAGCCAGAGAAGGGACTGGAGTCCGTTCATTTCGGCTCATTTCAATCAATGGGAAGATCGGTTTTGAAGATTTCAATGTTTTCCGATCATTAAGGCAGAGCTAGGGTCCACATAAACCGCTGACCCGCTCCCGCAAACATGGACAACAGTTGATGGTGGACAGGATTCTCCAACTGGTTTGCCATAAACCTCGTTCCAAGCTGATGCTAGGAGGGAAAGTTGCAGCAAGCTCGTCGTATTGCACCTGAATGGACTCAATATGATGAAGAGCTTCAAAGGATGATTGACAAGTTGGAAACCTAAGACCCTTGGCTTTTTTTAAGGCGGCAGAAAGTGGCAGACATGCTTTTTTTTAAGGCGCTTTTTCTTGGGAGTCAGCTTTCACCATCTTTCACCAACAGTTGGCTGCCTGTCCTCCACAGCACAGGGAGAGATTAGTTGATGCAGGAAGCAGGAGGTTTTTTTCACATTTACTCAGCACTGACCAGTACCTGTAGGGGCCACTAAGCGAAGAGCCCAATCATCAGACCATGATCCATCCGGACGTGGGTTGCACCTGATGAAACTACTCTCAAAAATAATTACTATGATTGTTATGGCATGTTATGGCTATAGATGTTTATAATTGTTTATATTATTTTATATTGTTCTTCCATCCTTTGACTCTCATTTCCAGTGATCCGCATCATTCACAGGTACATACGACACATTGCGCAGACCGCTTCACGCTTGACACATTTTGTTTGAAAATCAGATCATAGAGTCATAGAGTCTTTCTCCACCAGTCGATTTGGTCCACTTGGTTTGTTGAGAATTGGCACTTTGTCAAAGGGGCGTGTCCTTTTCCTTTTCTAGGGTTTCTTATCATGTCGACTGAAGACTGAAGACTCCTTCGCCAGGTGGATTGATGCAGGACCCCACGGTGCCCCTGCTTTCAAGATGCAATCGGTGACGAGTCGATGGACGATGTGATTTGAGCAGCTTGCGGAGCTGGTTTCGCCAGTGGTTCTTTGGTGGCTCCATTTTCAGCATTTTCCGGGTTCAAATGCTTGGGCTTCACATGCGTTCCCCAGTAACCAAAGATATCCAAAGATCAAGGCCATTTGACTCGGTTTGCCCCTGAAAGAGAGAATCAAAATCCATCAAAATCCATCAAAATCCATCAAAATCCATCATATTGAGCCACTGGCCCTGCTAGGCGTAGGGAATTGCCTCAGCAACACCAAAGCCACGGGGCAAAGAGATTCGACCGCCTGGGGATCATGGTGACCTTCTGGTGCTTTCTCATGCACATCAGATCATATGCACATCTACCCTCTGGTAAACTAACATAGCTATTGAAAATGGCCATTTATAGTGGATTTTCCCATTAAAAATGGTGATTTGCCATAGCTATGTTAAATTACCAGATGGTAATACATCTATGAGATTTCCAAATGTTATTAACTGTTATTGTTTTTTCTATTTTTTCTCGTGGGTTTCCAGGGGGTCTTTTTCCCAGAGTTTGTATATCACAAGGATTCAAACCAAAACAAAAGGATGTTTGTGTTGTTTCATCGTTGCACTGTTTCTGATCGTAGCAGGGTGCCTTCGTGCACCTTTTCCTCCAAGTCCAAGTCGTGATGCGTTCGTTCATACGGGTTCGGGAGCAGCCCAGCATCCCAATAGACCAATGCACGAAGTTTGCACAGCCAGGTGATCAGCCAGGTCAACAGCACAGATAGCTCACCATGACTAGACTGTGTTTTCTCATGGGTAGCATGGATCAAATGTATCGACGCTTGATGGTGCCTCTAAGTTAGAGATCTATCAGTTTCTGGTTCCCTTTATCTTCTTGGAAACTTATCCATGTTGATAACAGGGATTGTTTTACCATGCTTTACCCAGCTCAACCATTTCAAGTGCAGACTCCCAAGGTGAAAACATCCTGTTTGAATGGCGGCCCAGGTTATGATTCTCCCAACAGCTTCCTTTGCACCTGCACCCTGTCGCCTGCAGGAGGATGTGGAAGACTGGAATGGGCCGCAGTGGCAAGATGATGGCAGTGTGTCTTTGACTTCAAAAGGTGATTGAGAATTGAGACCTCCATGGATGTTGATTGTTAGGACCGGATATCATTGGGGATCTCCATGGGCATCCAAATATATCCCGTGAGTTTGCTGGCATTTGCTGGCATTTGCTGGCTTAATACAGCCTGAATTTTCTTGGTATTTCAAGCTCCGGTCTTTGGCTTGAGATATGCCGGCCCAGGTCCTCATCTGAGACCTCTGCGGTGATGAAAATGGGCGTGGCACACATGGCAGCCATCCGTTCAACCAGATGGGGGTGTCCTGAAATGGGGGTACCGGGGTACCCCACAATGGATGGTTGATAATGGACAATTCCTATTAAAATGTATGATTTGGGGGTAGCCCTATTTATGGAAACCCCCATATGTTGACATTGGACATTGAAATGGGACAACAAATGAGATGACCGGGCACGGGTCTTGACAGGGGCAATCAAAGTGACAGACATTGCTCTTCCACAACAATGACGTGATTGTTCTGAAGGTCTCTTGTTTCAATCAAGTTTTCTGAATCAAAGTTTGGCACTTGCTGATCAACATCTAAGATCATTTATATTTAAGGGCTGCCGCCCCTGCCGCCGACCCCGGAAAAGAATAAGTAAAGGTTCTCTTGCCGAAGTAAACATTCGTAAGGTTCCGCATGTTTTGCGGACCATGCAACTGTTCGAGAAAGTGAAACAATATCTGGCAAAATATACCTGATGCAGATGACTTATAGGCCTTGAGCAGGTGCCGCAATGTTCCAATTTGATCAAGGGCTGGTGAAACAGGCAAGAGTGACGAGACAGTTGACATGAAGCTTGCTCTGAACTGAACAACACATGTATGTGCATTTGGGCTGAGAGACCTAACAAAGGTTCCAGGAAGTTGGTGCGCTAGGACTCAGCGGCCGATGTGTCAAGAAAACACATGTTATCAGTTGCACAAAAACGCCTCCACAGCAATAACGATTCTCAAGTACGAATGTCCAATCTGTCGCGCTGAACGGGATACCAAGCGTCTAGTTGCCGTGGACGCAGACGATCCTCGCTTCGTAGAAGGTTTCAGCATGGCGCGGGGGATTTTCCACACGAACGGGGTGAAGTGCCACGTGAATAAACTTCGCGCGGAACAATGGGCGCGGCAGCATGGGCAAATAATCTATTATGCAGTGGCTACGGATAAGGTATCATCGCGAGCTTTGCACGAAAAGCCCGACATCGCCCAAGACAAGCTCACATGGCTGCAACGCAGCGATGCTGATTGCGGGAATCGGTATGGTATTCTTCCGCTGTGCATTGGTATGCCTGTACAAGCGCGGGAACACCTCCACCGGAAGGATTTCAAGATCTTGAAAGGGTGTCATGGAACCATTTGCGGGTGGTCAAGCATTGAGACAGAAACAGCGGCGGCAGATGGAGCAGTAATATGGAACAAACTCCCCGATTATATCTTCGTGCGTTTTGAGACGCGAACACGTTGGACAATTCCAGGCATCGATCAAGAGAACGTCTTCCCGGTCAGCATACAAAGTGCACAGTGGTTTCTAGACGCGGGCCGCACCAACCCACAATTGAAAGTCACCCGGTACCAATTTCCCATCGCGCCCGACTTCGCTGACACGTTTTACGGTGCACAAGGAAGCACAATAGAACCAGGCGTGATCGTTGACATGGTCGGTGCTGACCCAATAGCGGCGTACATTGGGATGACACGCTGCCGCACACGGCAGAAGATCTTGATCTATCGTCCGTTCCCGCTGGCACCTTTTCAAGCAGGTCTGCCGCTCGGACGGCAACTTCTGCTTGACGTGTGGAAGCAGGAGCCGGTGGACTGGGATGCGTTGCGAAAGAAGTACTTAGACGAAAGGCCTTGCCAAGAGTGTGGGGAGATGAAACGCAAAGACGCGTTCACCAAAGCACAATGGAAACAGGAAACATACCGCGTCTGTAAAGAATGCACCACGCAGAAGCGCGAGGCAGGAACACCGTACCGATGCACACAGTGCGGCCTGTGGCACGCCGCAGCACACTTTGCGTCAAAGCATCACAACCCGCGGTGGAGTCTTTACAGAGTTTGCTTATCGTGTGATGCAGTGAAAGAATGTTTCTCTTGCACGAAGAAGCTCACAAAAGAATATTTCACGGTGCCAGCATGGAAAGCAAGCAAGCCAGAGAGGAGGCTATGCCTACATTGTCAAAAGCAAGGAAAATGGACATGTGCACGCTGCCACCAAAAATTACCTACGCTGCAATTCTCCCATTATAACAAAATGCGCCCGGGCGGTGGTCAAAATGGCAGGCAAACTTGCAATGCTTGCCGTGCTATTGTCGTGCAAGCGAATGTGCGTAAGCGAGCTGCGAAGTCTAGCATACAACGTCTGCAATCTGTGCGTGAGACGCTGCGCCGTCGACAAATTCTCCGCGAGACATGGGAAGCAATCGCAGACCACAGAAAAAAACACACGCGCTGCGCGAGGACGAGCGAAAAAGAAGCCACAAATGAAGTTGCTACTGAGAAAGAAATAGATCAAGCCTTGCAAGTACCTCTTGCAACACCACAGCAGGAGCTTTATGTGTACACATGCCCTTTTTGCCAAGGTTCAGTTACTACGTCAACTGCTTCCGGACATATCAACCACCGACGCGTGTGTGGAAAACAGTTTCGCGTGCAAGATGGGCTTCTCCGGCCGACGCTGCCTACGATCCGCTATTCGCACACATGCCCGACTTGTGGGACCTGCGTGCAGAGCACCAAGAAATTTGGGCGAATCCAAAGCAAACACAAACAACCCAGTGGCCGCATGTGCCGCCTAACGCAATGGCACGCAAGCTGACAACAAACGACCAGTTGCAGTACTTTCTTGTCTGCCAAGGTACATCTTTTATATTCTTTTATATTCTTTTTATATTCTTTTATATTCTTTTATTAACAACTGCTGTGTTGCTTGTGGCAATTGCGGCCCGCCCACATGTGAATCCAGGCCCGCACCAGCAAAAAGGCTATAACGTATCTTCTCGAACTCTAGAATAATTCCGAAAAAATGCTTGAGGTGAGTTCTGCAACGCTACAAGAGCAGCATGTTTCAACACATTGTTCCTGCTGCTGCTGCTGCGAAAACAACAGCTCCCGGCATCTCCCCGTAACAAAACAGACTGGCACTAAAGGACGACCACAAACAGCATTTTCTGCGGTAAGTTCTGTTGCAGCTGCTACTGCTGCTGCTGCTGCCGCTGCTACTGCCACGGCCGCTGCTCTGGCTGCTGCCGCAGCTCCCGGCAGCAAAACACCATGGCCCTAAAGGACGGACCGAGTCCAAAATGTGCGTTTCTTACTGCTACTGCTGCTGTTGGAGTCACTGCTGCCGCTGCTACTGCCACGGCCGCTGCTCTGGCTGCTGCTGCAGCTCCCGGCAGCAAAACACCATGGCCCTAAAGGACGAACCGAGTCCAAAATATACGTCCTGCGGTCGGAACGTCCCTTCTGAAATCCTACAAAAAGCTTCCTGCTGGTGCGGAAAGTTATTATAATCAGTTTTTTACCTTACTGCTACTGCTGCTGCTGGACTCACTGCCGCTGCTACTGCCACGGCCGCTGCTCTGGCTGCTGCTGCAGCTCCCGGCAGCAAAACACCATGGCCCTAAAGGACGAACCAAGTCCAAAATGTACGTTTCCCGGGGCCGAAACGTCCCTTCTGAAATCCTACAGAAAGCTTGCCGCTGCTACTGCCACGGCCGCCGCTCTGGCTGCTGCCGCAGCTCCCGGCAGCAAAAAACTAGGCCCTATGTCCAAAATGTGCGTTTCTTACTGCTACTGCTGCTGTTGGAGTCACTGCTGCCGCTGCTACTGCCACGGCTGCTGCTGCAGCTCCCGGCAGCAAAACACCATGGCCCTAAAGGACGAACCGAGTCCAAAATATACGTCCTGCGATCGGAACGTCCCTTCTGAAATCCTACAAAGAGCGTGCTGCTGGTGCGGAAAGTTATTATAATCAGTTTTTTACCTTACTGCTACTGCGGCTGCTGGACTCACTGCTGCCGCTGCTACTGCCACCACCGCTGCTGTGGCTGCTGCTGCAGCTCCCGGCAGCAAAACACCATGGCCCTAAAGGACGAACCAAGTCCAAAATGTACGTTTTCCGGGGCCGAAACGTCCCTTCTGAAATCCTACAAAAAGCTTGCCGCTGCTACTGCCACGGCCGCTGCTCTGGCTGCTGCCGCTGCTCTGGCTGCTGCCGCAGCTCCCGGCAGCAAAACACCATGGCCCTAAAGGACGGACCGAGTCCAAAATGTGTATTTCTTATTGCTACTGCTGCTGTTGGAGTCACTACTGCCGCTGCTACTGCCGCGGCTGCTGCTCTGGATGCTGCTGCAGCTCCCGGCAGCAAAACACCATGGTCCTAAAGGACGAACCGCTTGCCATTCTTAGAGATTACAAGGTGGTGCCCCCCCAGTTATAGCTTGCTTTAAGAACCATAGTAACTAGATGTATCTACCATAAACATCCATAAACACCCATAAGCTGTTGGTGCTGAAATTATCATTTTTTTCCTTTTTAAGACTGCTCTGGCTGCTGCCGCAGCTCCCGGCAGCAAAATACAATGGCCCTAAAGGACGAACCGAGTCCAAAATGTGCGTTTCTTACTGCTACTGCTGCTCTTGGAGTCACTGCTGCCGCTGCTACTGCCACGGCCGCTGCTGCAGCTCCCGGCAGCAAAACACCATGGTCCTGCGGTCGGAACGTCCCTTCGCAAAAAGCTTGCTGCTGGTGCGGAAAGTATCATTTTTTACAATTTTATTATTTTTTACCTTACTGCTACTGCTGCTGCTGGACTCACATGCTGCCGCTGCTACTGCCACGGCCTCTGCTCTGGCTGCTGCTGCAGCTCCCGGCAGCAAAACACCATGGCCCTAAAGGACGAACCGAGTCCAAAATATACGTTTCCCGGGGCCGGAACGTCCCTTCTGAAATCCTACAAAAAGCTTGCCGCTGCTACTGCCACGGCCGCTGCTCTGGCTGCTGCCGCAGCTCCCGGCAGCAAAAAACTATGGCCCTAAAGGACGAACCGAGTCCAAAATATACGTTTCCCGGGGCTGGAACGTCCCTTCTGAAATCCTACAAAAAGCTTGCCGCTGCTACTGCCACGGCCGCTGCTCTGGCTGCTGCCGCAGCTCCCGGCAGCAAAACACCATGGCCCTAAAGGACGAACCGAGTC